TTTAGATATTTAATACATAACTTACAATGTGCCTGTAGATATGGAATGATATATAAAGAAGTCTGATTGTAGTTCAGTTCACAGAACTTTGTTGAGTTTGAAACTTGATATTCTTTTAGTTCACATATTCAACTCTGGAGTGTGTTCCCTCCATGTTCACCCTATTCCTTTCTCATTGTACCCCAATTAAACTCGTTGCCTGCCCCATCAGATGTTTTCCACTCCTAAGAAAACAGCTCCAAATAAAAGCCTGAAATTGAATATGACAAGCCACACATGAATTTTTATCAAGTTTCTAGAGAGGCTCTCAACTCCTTAAAGAAATGTTTGGATTTTCTCCCAATTAACCTAATAATAATACCATCTCAAAAACACTAGAAGCTATTAGGCATCATGTTACCTTTTGAAGAAACTTGTATTTCTCAATGTTTTGGGGGTAAATTTGTGCTGAACGAACTTGACAAGGTGGCAATATATAGGTATTTCTTATGAACCACAATCTTATTCTATTTGATTGATGTGAGAGAAGTGAAAATGAATTTCTCTGAACAATTTTCCTGACATACCACCATTTTATTGCCTATAGTCATCTTTTTATTTGTAATTTTAGCATCCTTTCACCCCCTCCGTATCCCTCTTTCTTTATTGTGCTGTATTTCTCCTCCTGGTGTCTGCTCTCCCCTCCTCCCCCTCTCTCACTCTCTCTCTCTCTCTCTCTCTCTCTCTCTCTCTCTCTCTCTCTCTTTCACTCTTTTTTCCCTTCCCACAATCCTGCAGGCTGTTTTAGTAGTTTTAATGAAATGTAAACCACCTCCGAACACACCCTATCGTCCCTGCACAAACATCCGCCTCATGGTTCTGAATCGTAACTTTCATATTTCATACATTGCTCTGGGTTATTATACCAAAGTGTCATTTTAATATTGCAGAAGGGTTGATCGTTTGCAACAATATTTCAAGTTGACAGTTAGATGTTAAAGCTAAGAAGTCAAGAAGATAATTACTTCCCTTCTCGGTTTGTTCCGCTATGACATTACGAAACAGTTCATAGTACTGGTAAATTCATGTAATGAGGAAATTTATTTTGAAATACAAAATTCTTTGTTACATAAATGACTGAACTAATGATGCTTGGCTGCATGCAGAGATCAAGATTATAATGCCCATTGTACTTGTAGAGTTTTATCGAGCAGAAAATTTAACAGCTCAATTTATTGTGCTGCATTTTACATTCATCCTATATCAGGGAAAAAATCATGAAAATATTTCTGCATTTCATGCTGAGCTTCTCATGATAAAACCTGTCATCTTTTCCATTTCGGTTAAACATTCTATTATGCAATAACACATGTCTGACATAGTGGGACCATGTTCCAATTAGCTTCATCCCACACAGGATAAACTTTCATAATGCAGTAACAGGCACCCCTCTATTCAGCACAGCAGAAAAACCTGTCTTACAAATTCTTCTTGACTTTATCCTACCCAAAACCATGAAATAAGATACTGGTATTCGTGGCAGGATTCTCAAACTTCCTGGGTTTGCATCTAATGAGGAGCCCTGTCGGAGGTGTTTGTTCTTAAAACATTTCCACTACCGGTTGATCGGACGTAGCCAAATCATACTGTGAAGAAATATAGAAGCATATTTATGCTCTCACTTTGCATGTTGTTTCTGGCAACAAGAGTTCTTTCTATTCAATGACTCAAGCAGTGTGGCTCAGTCTCAATTTTTATGAAATAAGTAAGAGAGAAAAGGGAGAAATTACCCAACAAAGGGAAACCTGTCAATTTCCAAAGAACTTTTCCATTTCTAAGTATATTTAATCCTCTATGATTGACAAGTTCTTTCCACCTCTTCAATGGTGGGTAAACAGATGATGCATTCAATGAAGAAACGGCAAATATTTCAAGCTCAATATCCTAAGGCAAAATGGAAATATCTTTTTTTAATAATATTTCTATATTCATGTATTTTCTCTCCAGAATATTTGTTCCTGTTGTTGCAAATGAATATTCTTTAATTTAAACAGTAATTGTTGAAAGTGAATATTGACCCTGAATTCCAAAAGGATCCCTATTTTGTTAACGGATAGAAATAGTTAAGTTGCATCACCAACATGATTTTTGTGAAAATTGACATAGGCCTACATTCCAGATAATTTTATGACCGAATAGTTTGTTTAAAAATAGAATTTTTGTTGGTTCTATATTCATATTTGGAAAATATGTCTTTTTCGAATCGAGGGAATTCATGATCTTAAATACCCTCCATCTCAGCGTGACATTTAAACCCCATCACCTCAGAAATTACACCTCTGACCCAACCGCTGCACCCCTCTACCAAGCCCACTACCACGCCTCTCTCTACCAATCACACTCTTTGATGCCCCCCACGCATTAAACCATTAGTCATCAAACATTGATGAATGATGCTTTCTTCAAGATGATTCCTCTTTGTTGAGTTTGAAACCTGTGAAATGTTTCTAACAGAAAGTTACTTTGTTAGTTTTGAAGGTGTGGGAGTGTGGGTGATATAAACCAAATTCTGACAAGTTTCAGATGAATCAGGTTTTTTTTTCCCCTCTATAATTTGATAATGTTTCAGTGCTTTGTCATCTTGGTTTTGATAGGGTATGCCAAAGAAGTATGTTGGAGGGTTGGCATGATGCAGTTGTGGAAAAAAGCATTCTTTTCTGCGGATATTTGATAAAATGATAAATTTTCTTTCCTTTTACTTGGTATGAGGTTTTTGACCTTTTTCTTTGATTGATGTGTCTCTGAAGATCATTCAAATCTTCCCACTCTTACCAGAGTTATATTACAGTTGTAGTCCATTAATGAGGGCAATCGCTAAAATTGCAAGTCTCTAGATGATCATTGCAAAGTTCTGATTTATGTGCCCTTCCCTTAACTGGGGGTGAAAAACATGAAGGGCACATATCCACCTGTTTCAGATTTAGTTTAAACGTCTTCCATACCCTACTATTGTGGCTGGATACCAACCAACCCACACACCCAATTCCTATCATCGGTTGTGATGTTTTAAAGAATTACTCTCATGCCATTTGAAACCCCTCACTTGTTCTCCTTAAACTTTTGTCTATGCCAACCACCCTAGCCAAATATTCAACCCACGCTACCCCAAGAGAATTTAGACTAGGGGCAATACCCAGCCCCCCCCCCCAAAAAAAAGGGCTCAGAACTTTCCTGTGCAGCTGGTAACAGTTAAGAATGATATAGCTTTCATATTTCATTCCCCCTGAAAACTCTTTGGATTTTGACATATCGCATTTCACCCCTCTTGCAAATTGTTTCACGCTTTGTTAAACGTTCCACTTTCTCCCAGCAGTTTGTTGTAAAAACAGAGATTAGTGACCAAATTGAGGAACGGTTTGCGTTTTTGTTTTGTCTCTGAGGTTTCCAACAGTTTGGTTAGATTGTGTGAGGGGAAATTTATTACAGTGACCTGAAATGAACTTGGGGAAAAGCTAAATTCAGACTCCCAGAGATGTTGTCATAAATATTTAGTCATAAAAATAGATTCTCTATTTTTTGGAGACAGGGCGTGGCAAATACATTGTTTATGATACTTCTGTTCAGTTCTTTAACTTGGTTTTACTTTTAGAGAGTTTTCCATTTTAGGTCTGTCCCCTATGTGACTGCTGACTCTGTTATGTAGCATTTTGATTAAAGCTCAAATTGAAACAAGCTGTAGTAGTTAAGTCTGCACTGGAATCGAATGCAACCTGATGACATTACAAAACTTGACCAGAACCATATATGTAACTATCAGATGAGTGATGTTTACCATTTCCCAGTGGTTGCCCCAGAAGTATGGAAGCCTAAACTCTCAATTCCATCCACTTAGGTCCCTTAATTAGTTTCAATAAGAAAAGGCTTGTCTGCAGTAGTGATGTGACAACTTTTATACAAGGGGGAAAATGTTTTCCTGTGTCTACTGAATTTTGTTTCTGAAAGCATGCCATTTCATAATGGTATAAAATATTTCAGACTTTGTTTTTTATCGTCTGACTTTAAGAAAATCAAGTAAAAAAAAAAAAAAAAAAGACTTGTGTGAATGAATATTTTATTTTTCTTGAGTACCTGTGAATTATGTGTAGTACATCAGTTTGAAGATGGTTGTGATGACATTTTTTTTCTTCCTGTCCCTTCACTTGAATAGACTTCTCAATATTCACACATGGTTCCTGCTCTGGAATCTTATCATCACTTCAAAATCTCTTAATTTCTGGCTTGTTTCGCTTCTCTGTCCCCCTCAATAATGCTCCAAGTCTTGTCCTTTCATTGAACCAGGTCATTTCTCACATCCTGTTTTGAACTTCATGCAGATCACATCTCTAAAAAATGATCCTGAAAATACCATGCACTTATATTCTATGTTACATCCAACTTTAAATAAGTCACATAGCATTTTTTTCTAGTAAATCATGAGTCAATACTAAAAACTTTTACTGTACGATACTTTTTCAACTTCATTATTTTGTTTGGAGATATCTTTATAAGAAGTGTTCATTTCATTTTCCATACTGGCGCAAAATGTAGTTCATAAAAAATTGTATTGACATCACTTCACTCTCATCTTTCAAATACAAAAATATGCATACCCAAATATGGCTCACAGTCATTCTTGATACATGTAATTGATTACATGTATATGTTATAATGTATTTCTTTGTATTTACTTATAAATTTATCTATATCTACATATATGTTTTTGTATGTATGGAAATTTATATTCTAATCTGCAAAGTGTATTTCTCAATACCCTACAACTGTACAATAAACTCATCCTTTATGAAATCCAAGATGATGAAGAAACTCAGCATAACAGAGGATGACTGTGCATCAAGACAGGAAATCATTGTGGGAGTAATTCTTTTTATCCAATACTTCAATGTCCTGATTACATTTATGTAACTTCCTTCGACTTGTTAGAGATACAAGAAAAGTAAAGATGTTCTCCCATTTCTTTTCAGATTGGATAGGATTGTCGTGGACACCGTGCAGGGAAGGGATAAAGTCTACACCGTTATCTTCGTCGGAACCGGTAAGAACTCCCAAACCTTGGAATAATCATGATCTTTCTTACTGTTTAGTCCCACACAATTATGTCCAAACTGATAACTATCTTTTATTAGAAGTTTCCAACTTATATATTTCTGCCAAATCGAACAGGAAAAAAAGAAAACAGATAAAAGGCCAACACTTGCATAAGGTTCCTTGTATACACCCTCAAAGTCTTGCTAAATGTTAAGTATCATGAATTCTTGGAAGCCGACATTTTCTTGTGTTTCAATCTGTAATGGTCAAGGTTACAAATCTATCACACTTGAAGAAAAAAGATGTTCTTAAGTTTGATATCTTAGCTTTTTGTTTTGTATTATATATTATATAGATGATAATGAAAACAAATTAAAGAGAAACCTTGAAAGGTTTAGAGTGCTGTTGGATGTGGCGATAAGCTTAATTATATTTCTTTATTGATCCTGTAAAAACATCTTCTCAAATGTGCACATTTTTCCCTCTTATCACTTTTTTTCTCTTATTTTTTTTCTTTTTCAGAGGATGGAAAGATCAAGAAGTTGGTGAACCTGGAGGGCATGGACAATGCCTGCATTGTTGAAGAGCTCTGTGTCACACCTGTGAGTAGAAAGTTAAAACCTCTCCATTATCAAAATAGTACAGTCCTCTCGCCTATTTCAAGACTGTTTTCAGGTTCCACCATTACGTATTTATAGGGATGTTCAGTTTGTATTTCTGTAAGAGGGAGCGAGGACAAAAATCTACCTATTCTCTGAATAGCGTAGTCCTTGCACAGATGTCATGAATGTTCAAAGACAACACTATTAAATATTTATAGGGTTGTTCATTTTGTATGTTTCTGAGGTGGAGAAAGGAAGGGAGAAAGAAAAAAACTACCCACTCTCTAGCTAGTCCTTGCACCTATGTCATGAATGTTATAAGATGAAACTGTCAAATATTTATAGGGTTGTTCATTCTGTAGTTTTTGAGGGGGAGGGAGAATTCCCACTTGGGAAAGACATTCTAAATATAAAGTGTCTTCTTCGAAGAATCTTTGTGGCATCTGCTTGTCAAATTCATGAATCTTGTCCTGTTTGATGCGGGTAAACCTGTGGGCAGTGCAACCAATCAGCATGTCACTCTTCAAAATGATGTTAGAAGATGAGAGGGGGTGACAACCTGGCTTGATTGGGGTCAACGAAGGTCATCTGATGTTCCTCTTGAGTGGCCCACTCACCAGTAGAATACATACATATGATCTGTGGATCAATAGCCAGAAGGGTGTTTAACTTATACCAGTTATACAGGGTTCAAACTTCTCTAGTTCTCAAGCAGACAATATTTTCTTTCTGTAATTACCATGTCCCTTTAAATTCTGTGTTTCTGATATGTAAGGGATGAGTCAGTTACTTTTGAAACAATCGAAAACGTGACCTGAAATGGAAAATTCCCTTCGCAACGGAAAGAACCCATAGATACTCTGGGAATGAAATTGAAGTCTTTTCAGAGAAGAAGAAAAATGCCAACGAAATAGATATTGAGAATTTCTTAGATCCATTTATGTAACTTAATGTCATTCACTATCATGACAGCAAATACTTTAAATGGATGTATAAAGATTGAAAGACGTGGAAAATGCCAGCATTATATTCTGGCATTCTCACTCACTCTAAGACCTGAAACCATGTCTGTAATTCCCAGACGATAGCCTGAAACGTCACTATTCATTTAAAATCATCGCCATCAATATGTTTTTGATGACTTTGTTTTTCCCCATGACAATGGAGGAGTATAGTCGAGCCAAATTTGTATTTTCAAGAAACGTTGGTAGGGACCCAGAAACGATGACATGTGAATCATCGTAAGTAGTAAACTATACTCTCACGTGCTTTAAGGGAACGTCTGGCTTGAAGAGTTGATGGAAATGTATTGTTAAGAGCATATATTTATTAAGGCTTCTCAATTGTACTTTTTGCCTTTTTTGTCTCATATAATGCTGTTTGGTAATTACATAATGAATTTGGGACAGTGTTTCTGAGTCATTCATCCACCAATTTAGGTTTATTTATGCTCCAAGGCAAATAAATACTCATCATAAAGTAGGCATCCCATGATTTGTGCTAGGTTGTGTAAGGAATGTGTTTGTAGTTGGCCTTTAAATTGAGTTTGAAAATGGAGAAAAACAACTGTACCGTGATTCATGCTATAGGATGTTGGTGGGCCTACGTAAGAGAGAATGATGTTGAAAACATATGTAGCAGTTCATTGGTGAATGTGAGAACACTGTTCTGACTCACTTTCACTTTTTATACTGATTTTATGCTCTAGTTTAAATGTTTTGGAAACACAAACAAACTCCAGAGAAAATTCAACATTTTGCTAGAAATGTAACATTGTTATAGTTCTGAGTAAAGTGTTTTGTCTAAAATAAGTAATTTTTACTTCCTGTTAGGCACACTGTTAAAATCATGGTTTTGTTTTGGTAATAAAAATGATTAAATAATAGGTGAAATATAAGATTATGGAAATAAATGATTGTACTTTTCATTTTCTTGTATGTTTTTATTTTCATCAGGAACACAAGTGTGACCCACTCAGGACATTGAAAATCAGCAAAAAGAAGGTAAGAGTCTTCTTCAAAATTACTTTAAATGATTGGATATGATTTAAGTTTGTGGAAAACAGACTGCATGCAAGGTATTCTCATCAAGTACAGTCTTCACCTTGCATCTAGGTATGCTGCGAACCATTTTGCCAGGGAATTCTAATCAGGCTAGATTTGTGCTAAATATTTCGATGTATCTGAGCTAGCTCAGGTGTATAAACCTGGTACTATATCCCTTTCCCATCCCTATATCCGCCAGCCAGCAGCATCCCTCGGAAGAAGATCCCATGATTCCATTTCCAAGGCACTCAAAGCAGTCCATTGTCGCACTCCAATTTGTCGGCAGGCGTGAGATACATTAAGCTGCTCCATGCAGTATGGGTTTATGCATATGACATGAATGTTAAGACGATTACCGGCTTTTCCCTCACATGATCACGCTGGGCCTGGAGAACGTGTTTCAGACGCTTCCTGCCGATCGAGGTATTCTCTCGGTCTGTTTGTATTGAATGAAAAGAAGTATTTGTGTGATCCAGCCGAACAACAAATTGTGTTCAGTCAACTACAAATTGATGCTTTTTACCAGCTTTACTTGTGTTTGATGAGGGAGAATTGCTCTTGATGGGCGGTATATTGCAAGAAAAAAAGGACAAGGCCCTTTGCATTAGTTAGATAAAACCAAGAAGGATGCAATGTTTTAATGAAGATGGCAGCTCTCGTTGTGCCATTTGAAAGTTATTTACTCAATTTCCGTGTCTGCTTTTCTCTTCTTCTATCACTTTATTTATTTCTATCACTTTATATTGTCGTACACGTATTTAATGTGTCTTTATCTCTGTCTCAGTCATATTTCTTAGTGTGTGTGAAGGTACTCTTATGTCTTATTCCATCCTCCAGTTTATTCCTATCTATTATTTTTTCCTTTCATTTTTTCCTCATTAAGCTTACTTTGGAGTATTCCTCCTTTAATATTCTAATTTATTATTTTTCATTTCATTATTCATATCTAGTTTAGTTCCTTCTGCATTTTCATTCACTTCTTTTTAACCATTAAAAATGAAGTAAAACAAGAATTAAAATGTTTCATAAGGGGAAAAACCAAAAGACACCTTGATATTTGGTGCAGTAGAAAGACTCTAGTTCAAGGTGTTTTAAGACAACTTTCATTCAAAATAGACAAATTCCCCAAAGACTGGAATAGAGAGATTCATTCTAACCAAACTGCACTTCAGTGAAATCACCTTGAGACAGCAGTATGTCTGTGTGATGAATTCTAGTTTAAAAGAATCCATACTATTAGAGGTGAGGAATACTATCTCCAAACAAAGACTGAGGAGGTGATCAAGGATGGGCAGATGTGAGGAGGGAGAGAGGGAGAAGGTTTGAGAGATCAGAGATGGATGGAGAGAGGGAGGGAATGTACTCGGTTAGGGAGGATAAAGCCGAAACCTGAAGGACAAGGACACAAATACAAATATCTGGCATTGATATCACAAGCCTCCCCCAATTCCTTTAAAATAGTTTTATCCCCATCACTGACTTGATCTTGTAAAGATAATGTGGAGACACAGGAGAAGTAGGGAGGGAGGAGAAGGGGAAAGATAGGGAGATGGAGGATGGAGAAAGATTGGTGATGGGTTGAGAAAAAGTCATTAGGGCAGGATAAACTTAAAAGGATACAAATACACTGTCTGGCAGCTATATCAAACTGTCTTATGACTACACCACAAGCCAGACACCCCTCCCCACCCAAAAAAGTGCATCACGATCCCAGCATGGATCTCGGCAAGATGATGCGAAGATGCTCATTTTCTCATCCCGCGTCCCAGGTGCAAGCGGTGAGGCGCGCTAATGGTGCGTGAAATAATGTCAGGTTTGGGACGGGAGAAGGGTGAGGGTTAGACTGACTCATTCTAAACCATCGGCTGTGATGGAGGGTAAAGAGCGGAAATACCAAATGAAAAACATTTTGAGATTGGGATGAGGATGTAGTCTCCGGGGGAGCAGTTAGTATTGCGTGTTGGCAGATGGTTGACTATAATGTATTGTCCAGGTATTGATATCTGGTAGTTCATGTAACCTTTTCTTCCTTTTCTTTTAATGATTATGTTCGTCTATTGTCAGAAGAAAATTGTAAAATACATATCATTGGGATCTATCTCAGCTTGCACACTTCGATATTTTCTTAGATAGATGCATTGATAAAATTTAGATGACAAAAAATGACAAAAAGGTACTTTATTCAGCTCTCCCAAAGTTCTTTCTTTTTCATGTTACACTTAAAGCATTGTCTGTATATTGTTAGCAGAATTTAATAAATGTATCTTGAAGGGGCTCATATCTGATATATCTAGGTATTCTCTGTCATACTTAAAATGAATACAAGGAATACATTTTAAAATGAAAAGAAAAACATGCCATTGGTTTAATATCTTTGAAGCTATTTTGAACAGCACTCTGCAAGTCCAATGATAAGACATCCATCTATATAGCTTTCCTCTGCAAATTGCATAAGGAACTTTAGCTTCTAGCACACAGGGTATATCTTTCCAGACTGATAACGGAAACATTTCATTCTGATTATGTTTTTTATTATATCCAAACCATTTTACTCCCCTCTCAGCATCTTACATTTCCTCTCCAACCATCTGGCTATTCTAGGCTAAGTCCTTCCTAAATGAGAAGCAGAGGAGCTTTGCTAGACACAGATGCAAATTTCTAGGTCAAAACTTTTCCTTCATCTGAATTTTGACAATATTCATTCTTTTCCCCCCTTGCCGGTTATTGTCAATATCAGAAATTTATCACTCATGTGATGTCTTACTGATGATGTTAATTATTACTGTCTCTGTCTGTATTTGTATGAATCCTGTATGGTATTTTCATGTTAACTCTCTCTTTTTTGTTCATCTTTTTTATGTTTTAACTGCATTTGTCTTTCAGTTTGTTTCTTACTGCTGTTTTTGTTCTCTATGGAATTAGTGATATGTCCAGTAGTGATATATATTTCAATCTTTTATTGGTTTGTCTCCTCCATTTTTTGTGTGTTCTTTCCAGAAATTTCTGTATAATCTCTTCAATTTGTTTTTCTTTTCTGTCTTTCTTGTCACTTCTCCTTCCTTCATGAAACGATGTTTTCTCTTCCTATCTCATGCAACATATTTCCCTTCTTATTGCATCTGTTTCAATTCTTATTCTGTTTTATTTTCTCTTGTTTCTTTTTACTTTTTGTTCTTCTTTTCATTCCATATGAACCTGTCTTCCCCTTTGTTCTTCGGTCTATCTTTCTCATTCTTGTTCTTTTTCATTCTATAGTGTTGATCACTTCATCCCATCTCTCTTGAACTCCCAATATGAGTTTCTAACGAGAGCAAGGTGTGGGAGAGGGTTAAGTTTCACACCCCTGTTAGCCCCGGATTTGAAGAGTTGACATTCTGGTTTGGATATGTGGCTGGCTGCAGCCGCTGCACCCTGTTTAATTGAGAATCGTACTTCTGCCACATATTGCTGTCCAGATCGTCTACATGAAAAGAAAAAAAAATGAGAAAATTGTATGCGCCAGAGCTTCATCACTCGTTTTGCTTCATAGCATAATGGATTAGTTTTCTTTACTACCTTGGCCATTATATATATTTATTCCAATAATCTAAAAAATATAGAAATATGAAAAGTTTGTTCCCCATTATTTCACTTTAACTTTCTGAAAATGAAGAAAATTTATCAAGATAATCATGTCCATATTCACTCTATGAAAGTGTAGAATATTGATTAAAATATTCTTTATAATGATTCATTACTGCTAGATTTGTTGCAGTTGTAATTATTGTTGTTGCTGTTGCAAAATGAAATAAATTGTTAAAAGAGCCACAACATTCCATAATGTTTTAAGAGTTCTCAGAACTGTAATTTGTACTAAAAAAAAAAGAATGTTGTTGCACGAAGGTAATTTGATTGCACGCCATGCATCCTGTTTTTTCCTTCACTTCTGGTTAATAAACATCCTAGTAGTTATCTTCATGATCATAATGATGCTTTTCACACACCCAGACCAAGCAAACATCCAGCCATATATAAACTTGGCCAATGCCCTTGGCGAATCCCAGACATTAATAACAGTGGACACATCAGCGATGAAATTGTTTTTCTTCTAACGAGGATGATCGTACTCTCAGGAAATTGAAAACATTATTTGGTTGGCTCCTCGAGGTTTAGAGGTTCATAATGAGCTCATGTCATAACTAATATCTCAGGAGGCTAGGAGGAGTGAACTTCATTTTAAAACACCCTTTCTCAGACAGAATCACGAAGTGAAGTAACGATGAGATGGACAAAACTCTATTTATAAGATGAAATAATGATTGGTTTTAAAGGGGTTGCATACAAAAAATCATTTGAAACCAATCATAATTTAGTGAGTTCTCCATGGAAAATATTATTTCTCCTATTCGGCGCCAGATAGGCATTAACTCAGACACTTTAACCCAGATTTAACGCCCTCCTGGCTCTGAACGGATGATTTATCATGTTATTAGATTTTTCATCATGTTTGATCTTTGATTGTTTGTTTTTCTTTTTGTACAGAATGCTCTCTATGTTGGACTTCCAGAGGCTATCGTCAAAGTGCCAGTCGAAAGGTGTCATCAGTTCCCCACTCAAATGTAAGAATAAACGATCTTCTGAGAGCCAGTAGGGCATTATCAACTCCTATCATTCAACACAGTGTTAACTTCCTTCTTGCTCTCAACAAACTGAACATTCATAAGAATCTGCTGTAGTGATAAGTCCCTTCAATATTCAGTGGGTTACTGCATGGACCTACTTCGAAGTAGGTCCATAGTTACTGTAAACAGAAATTCATAACATCCCAATAAAATGTTTGTAGACATAGGAGGAATGAAATGAATGAAATATATAAATAAAGTGAAAGTAGGTCTCATAATGGTTGTTTAACCTGAAAGTGACTGAAGTGGGTTATTTGGGTTCAGTTTCTATTCATTCAGAATTTCTCACTAGAGGTCACTAAGGAACCTTTCATTTAGAAGACACATACATTAGCCCAATTTTCAGGTCATTCTGTTCAGGTCTTGTCACAAGCGGGATCCATCAGTGTTGAATATTCAGACCCCGACACAATTTACGTCCATTCATAAAAGTCTGAGCCGAGTGAGTGGGAAGGTGGGTGGATTGCATCAAGATGTTGATGTTGTTTTGTTCTCTGTGTGTTCTACAACTCATTGACTTATTTCTTCAAGGATTATTCTTATGTGCCCGATAAGTTACAACCCAAGTCTGACTGATTTGGGTCACGTTGTGTGTCTATCTTTGAATGTCTTTGAAAGTAAGAAGGTATGACTTAAAATAGCATTGCGTGGATTATTTCATTCACCTACAAGTTCTGGTACACTACCTAAATCGGTCACTTTACTGAAGTATTCAATACCACAGAATATTCTCCCCCGAACCCCATGGTAATACAAATTTTGATTCACAACAGCATCTCTATGATAAAAATCCACCTTGCATACATAATTTGTCGCTATGTTGGGCAATTCCTTAATAATATTTTCAATACATGAAAGATTGTATCTATTTAACGATTGTCTTTTCAATATTCTTTTCAATCAGTGAGTGTGTGAATGCCAGAGACCCATACTGTGGATGGCATCAGCTTAGATTAGAATGCACTCCATATCCAGAAAAGTAAGTAACATATATCTCTTCTATATCACTCCAATGTAATCTTTCATAATGATAGAATACCTGATGAAAACTTTGATAGATAAAATTCTGTAGCAGAATGGGGATATTTCTGTATTGTTTTATTTTATTAATCGAGTTAAGGCCCTTGTGGCTGACTCAGTGGATTGTGTAATTTTAGGCTAGATAGATAAATCACATTCAGGGGAATATAGGACAATCGTCAGTCGTGATATATGTTCTTTACAACTGCAAACACTGGCTGAATTCCTAATGAGGAATGATTCGGTGATGGATCATGTTAGTTTGCGTACTCCTGTCTTTTATTACGGTCGGTCCGGGAATACAAATCACCAATACAGGTATATCATCGTAGGGATCAAATAGAATATATTATAGCACACCAGGGAGATTAAACCATATATCATCCGATATCTTCATATGTCAGCAGCAATAAAGCCCTCACATGCTGTTTGGAAACAATCGGACAACATAAGACCCTCTCTGAAGGGTTTGTGTAACCCTTTGTCCACTTTGGTCAACCAATGGAACAAAAGTGGACCGCCACAGTTGATATTTTCACAAATATGTGTATGTAAAATATACTCCTAAACAATGCTGCAGTATTAGATTTCAATGCATAGCAAATAAAAGAATTAGACAAATACAATCTCTATTTCATCCTTTTTTAACAGTAAAGACATACCATGCAAATGCTCATAAAAATATTCTTTTTGTCTTTATTGTGTAATGATATTTAACGAGTGGTGATGTCTTGTCTTTAAGACTTCAAGCAGAACTTGATAATGAAGACATTCAGAGGAAGGGTTGAAATCGTAAAAACATGTTCCAAACATCCGCACATGAGTAAGAACATACCATATCCCAGGTCATTCGCACCCAAGAAGGTTCAACTTGACTTTTGGGACTTTATTCCTATAATTAAATTTTCTGTAATGCACAGTCAATCTATTTCTGCACAATGGGTAATGTATAAAATTTCAACAGTATTAGAGAACCTTGCAAACTTATACTAATTTTGATTATATTGAAGGGAATTAGCTATGTTTGCCATATTCTACCATAAAAGATATTATTTTGTAAATTCTTTTGCAAATTCAGTTTCAAATGCTGTCAACGTGTGAAGATTATTCTTTATACAGAAGAATGGTGTAGGAAGTGTTTAGTTCGGAATGTTTTGTGAACACAGTCTCAAGGGTGCAAGCATGAGGAGAGAATGGACCGGATGTGTCGTAATCCATGTCGGCTTAAAGCAGTGTGAAGAGTGCTATTTGATGTGACAATCCCAGTAATACCCTCTAATTTCATCCAGACAAGAATCAAAATGGAAAACAAAATCCAGTGTCTTGTTTTAATTTGGATTCATCAGACATATGAGACATTGAATCACTGTATTACGTCACTGCCAAAGATCGTTTGCTAATTCCAATAGTTATGTTGTTAGGAGAAATTCAAGGAACATCGTCATTGATACGTGTATCAGCAACTTCCAGGACTTCCTGTATATTCTGATCAAAGCTATGATATTTTCTCATTACTTCCAACTTCTAAAATTATCTTCTTTAAAAAAAAATGTATACTCAAATTTTAATTACATCGATCTTGAAAACAAAAGTTTCCTCTTTGGGCATCTTTCACAGAGAAAATTACCAGTTTCTTTAGATAATTATATTAAGAAGAGAATTGGCTGTTTTCCTGCCAGGGTTGCATGTAACCAGATGTCTAGAGATTTAGGCAAGAAGCAGAGCATTTCTGAAGTATTAGCAGTGACTCTGCAAACAATCCATCCATTATTCCTCCCTCTTCCTCTAATGACTCCTTGACAGCATTACTTCACGAATCTAAAGGGCAGTACGCCCAAGAGAAAAAGCGGAAATATTACATCAGAACATGAAAATGGAACATTCAATCGTAGTCACATCTGTATTTGGAAGTGTTTGAGAATGAAGTTAGGTCCATGTTGCGGATGAACTCTGAGTGACCTTACCCATGAGATAAGATGTCGCCTCAAAGTCAAGTTTTGATTAAGGTCTGTGAGGCAGCCTCCAGAGGGAGCTTGCCGGCTAAGCCTAAAGGGCATTGGTTACATACATGGAGATGATGGCTGTCTGATAGTCTGTCTGCAGACCTGACCCGACATGCTGAGAGATGTAAACATCAAAATAAGATGTCTTGCACCTCAAGATCTACCTTTTAAACAAAAATAAAACAAACAGAAAAACATTGATTGCTGAAAGCCCTGAAATTTATACTTGATGTATTTGATTTGTCATCGTAATATTTGATTATCATGGCATTACCAATCAAAAATCTTTATTTATATTTACAGAACTGTGTAGCATCTTGTCCCCTCTAGATCACAATTGAAAAGGTGTCTTTAGTGATACAGATGTAATAAACAAATTCAAACTTGATAATACTCATATGTCATGTGAATTGATGAGAGAGAGCTAATAGCTATCATATTTCTTTGTCTTTTTTTCTTCCATCTGCAGTCCTTTAGATGTGGAGTTCTGGCTACAAGAGATCACAGGATGCCCAATCATGGATAACGCAGGTAGGAATATACCTTTTGTTACCGTAGTAATCAAGCCACCAACAACATGCTCTATCAAATCATAGCTGATCTCATGTTGTGTAAAAGTGTGAATTGATGATACCACACATCATGGTTATAATTTGGTATAGATTGATGATAAATGTTTTAAATTAAAAGGCCATAGTACCTTACCGGTATGAAACCTTACTGTTACATCAATAAGGCTCTAATGCTCTGATATATCCATATCAATTTTTCAAAAAATGCTCAAGGCACTGAGAATGTACATGAATAATATAAACTATGATTAGATGTAAATTGCAATACAGAGAACATGAACAATATAATTAAGAGTAAAACAATACATCTTAAAACGATATTGACATAGATATATTTGAATTCTTGATAGTCATGTAAAACTGAATGGATTATTCTTTAACTCCTCAGTTGATGGCAAGTTTGGTCAGTGGTCCAACTGGACCCAGTGCTCGGACCCACTAGGAGTGGAAGCCTGCATGTGCCGCTACCGGGACTGCGACTCACCACAACCAGCGTGTGGGGGCACCACATGCATTGGGGAATATCAGCAAGTGATCAACTGTACAGGTAGACCTAGTGGCCACAGCGGGCCAGGCACGGCGCTTGAGAATTACAGGCCAGGTACTTGAGTGCATGGAGTGCATTTTGTCATTTTGTCCTTCTCTTCCTATTATTTTTTTGTTTGTTTCATGGGGGGGGGGGGTAATTTTGTAAATCATTTCTTTTATCATCACCTGTATTTCTCTCATTAACCTAATTTCTCTGAATCTTGACTCTTAAATCCTGAATCTTTGTTATACAAGGTTGTTATTATTCATGTCAAAATTGACAATGTGAATAGAAATTTTATTAAAAAATTTATAAACAAGAAGTTATACTAGTAGCTTGTCTACTCCAACTTTTGATGAGGGTAGGATATATTTTTAATGGTAGGTGGCTTCAAACATTTTTTCTGAATGTAATACATGGTCACGATATCTTGCTAAAAACTTTGGGATTATTTAGTATGTCCACATCTACCGCTGAAAGCTCACTCTACAGAAGAAAAAAAAGTTTGGCTTTATATTTTCTTTGAATAAATAGGTTGACAGTTGATGCTTCAGACAGCATGATCTACCGATTAATTTACTTAGTCCAATTGTGTCATTAATTTTGATTGATGATGTCCAACTTGTTTGGTGTTTGTTCTACCCTTTACAAGAATACCATGGGACCAAATCACCAATAAGTGAGATGATATATAGTACATGTAACACCTGTATCTATGTATTACCATGCATGAGTTGCATTCTTGTCAATTGTGCATCATTGCTTCTTCAAAGATAATTAAATACTTTCCTTTAAGTTTATGGTTTATATACAGTCAAACCTGTCTATAAAGGCCACTGAAGGGAAACAGAGAATGTGGCCTTTCCATTCAAGTTCTACAATACACATTCCTTGCTCGAAGGAGATAAAATATATTAAGGTTTTTTATCAGACCAAAGATATGTCATGGTATCTGAATTACAAAGTCTGAAGTACAAATTATCTAACAGAAAATTCTACCATGTGGAAAGGTGACCTTTATAAAGTGGTGGCCACTTAGATAGGTTTGACTGTATATCATTTATGCATTGAACTTTTCTTTACAGATATGATTTATATTATTTAAAATGAAGAAAAAAATATGCATTAAAGCATGACCTACAAGCAAGACTTCCTTGAAACTAAGATTGAATTGGAAACTTGGTAACTACAGGAATACATATGCATGATAAAACGCAACGTTTGCATCATCAATTTAGGAAATGCAAATAAATGATATGAATAATAATTTTGCTCTTATTATTTTGCATCGATCGATTGCTATATCATGGTTTCATGTCTATATATGATCTTTACACATACAGTATAATGGTTGTGATAAGTTGTAAATGTTTATCAAGTATAAAAATAACATATGCTGTTGTATTTGTCTTGTTTACTATTCTTTTGGTGGTCATTTTTGGCAGAAAACTTAAAAGAAGTCATTATGATTTTCTTAACTTAAAAAAAATAAGTATATATATATATATATATATATATATATATATATATATATATATTGCATTCAAGTATCAAGAATATGAATACTAATTACAGCCATAAGAATTTGAATAATAAGTTCATGTCTTACTTCCATTTTTGTTCAGGTTTCTGGGGTGAATGGAGTTTATGGACAGAGTGCTCTGCTCCTTGTAATGGAGGAATCCAATCTCGTGTTCGAGACTGTGTGAACGGGCAGGCCTGTGTGGGTGATTCCACTCAAACACGGGAGTGCAACAAAGAGGCTTGCTCAGGTAAGAATCTCAAGTACTCATGGAACCAATCTTGATCTTCTCTTCTTGATCAAGATCCATTAATCTTGATCTAAGGAGACACGAACAAACGATGGAACCAATAGAAAATGGTCCTCTCAACTGGTTGAATACTCTGCCTGAGATAAGTTGTGGTTTGGGTCTGCAGAAATCATATTTTATTCCAGATTCGAATCGTATCCAATGGGATAAAGTAAAGAATCTGTTGGAAGTAAACAAGAGTTTATGACCCTGTAATGTCTCCTTTTCTCTCTATCTGCCTTTTTTTCTAAAAGAATTCATGTATTCCTGTGTAGTCCTCTACATTTTCAATTTACCTTGCAGTTCTGAGGTCAAAGTTTTGACATTTATAAAAAAAAAAATTATATGTTAGAAGTGAAAATCAAGTTCATTAATGAAAAATAGGGTTGATTTGGGAGTTAAAAGGAAATGTATATGTTTGAAGTAAAAGCAAATAAACACAGACATGAAAATTCATTTTTTTCAATTTTTGTATTCTCTAATTTCTATTGGTCTTCTTCTCCCCCATCTGTCACTTTCCAGAGATACGCAGACCGACTGACTGGACTCCTTGGTTGGTTCACAATGTGTCTGAAGATGGTCTACTTATGCAACGCTTCAAGTACATCTGTAGAGCTCAGGTACCCGAGAGGGACATGGTATCAGTCGGCAGGATGAAAGGGCAGTTCAAGTTCTGTCCTTTCAGCAGTACCAACAAGAGATGCTGGGGTGACAGTGGTAAGCTAACCAGTCCAGAATTTATGGTTTATACAGATAAATCTTGATATATGTTTTTTTTTAAGAAGACACCTATGAGACAAAATTAGACCCTTCTTTTTAATGTTGAATGAATAGACCAGTTCACGGTTAGCACATGGCTGCAATGACCCCGAATTCCCACAGATCTTCAAAACATGAAGAGGTCCCACTTTTTACATTTTGAAATAATTACTCCTACAGCGATGGAGATGCTACATACTTAGCCTTTGTTTCCCCTTTTCAAAGAATACTTCCACCTGTGTATCATGGAGTGCTCTGCTTGTGCATACATGAATAATAATTACATAACTTTCATGAGCACGTATCCAGTATTCCGTCTCCATGTATTTCACAATTTGTTCTGCAATGACCTTTATCTGCTCATGCTCAGACTGCAACCGTGAACTGGCTTATTTATATACTTCTCCACTAGTCTCAAATTGTGGAAATTGCAATATAATCAAAATTATCAGCTGCTACAATTTTTTTAACCTGTTCTTTCCAATTGCTTTTGTATTTCCCATCTGATTACGTACTCAGAGGATTAAAAAAAGTGAAGGAGATTTGTCAATATCCAAAAGAAGAAATGCTCATGTTTCATTGATATTATCATGATCTATTCCATTACTGGACCCCAATGATATAAGTGATTGTAACATTTCACCTTTGACATGCAGTTCATTAAACCTCCCCATGATCAATTTCTGATTTGTCAAGAAATGGGAATTAAAATGTCATGTCTTAATTTTTGATAAAGATTGGGTATGGAAGCAATTTCATCAGTTCCAACAAAATATGATGCTCTTGATAAAATACAAGAGGGACTTGGAACCCTATATTGAAAATCATCTGCAGAGAGCCAGAAGGCGTAAACTCATAGCAGCTTACAGAGTGTCTATGGCCTGTCTGGCTGTCAACAGTTAATAATATGTGTTGTAATTGGGATATTTTGTTGGTGCATATCATGTTCCCATAACTTGCAAACTTCTCAACATGCTTTCTTGATCTGAATTAACATTTTTTGTTTACAAAAAAATATTTTACATTACAAAAATTAAATTTAAGCTCAGTTCTTGTAAAAGAATGAACATTTCTTTTAGGCAAGCACATGTTTCTCTACTATGGATTTTGAATTACGTGTTAGAAGGGAAAGGGTTTTATGGGAGATTCGAGAGAGATAGAAATGCTTATTACAGAATTTTAAATCTTCAATTATTATTTCTTTCAAATTGGCTGTTATTTTATTAAACTCTGCATGAAATATCTGACTCTCTTTTTCTGAATTTGGCTGCACTAATTGGATGTAATTCATCTTAAAGGGAGAAAAAATGCAAGAATTTAAATTCTAACTGCTCTGATTGCCTAACAACAAAAAATGGGGGAAGTGAATATAAACGATGCTTGATACTATTATAAATAACAAAACAAAGAGCTAGACAAATGTGTGAAATTAACAAAAATATTAAGGGCTTCAGTTTCTAACTTTGAAATAAGATAAGGAAAGCACTTTAAATGAGACACTCCTTCAATAAATAGCTAGTCATTATCCTTTTAAATCAAATGGAAGAGTTACATCTTTATAAAATGTAAAATTAAAAAAACAAGCAATATGATATTTGAATAACACTAGGCATATCATTTTGACTAATCCCACTATCTGTCCATCTCTTTCTAATCCTTACTTCCTTCCTTCCCCTTCATCAGAGAGCTTTGGTGGGTGGACCATGTGGTCTCCATGGTTACCATGCAGCTCATCATGCGGCCAGGGTGTACAGGTCAGGCACCGTGCTTGTTTCCCTGATAACGCTGATTGTAACGGGCAGTACTACGAAAAACGAGATTGCTTGACCTTTGTTCCCTGCCCAGGTAATTGGCTAACTGTTTTTTTGTTTGTTTTTTAATTAATGACAAGTCTGGTACGTGTGCATGTGTGTTGCTTCAGCTCCTCTTACCTCTAAAGCTTTGCCAAAAATCTAACCATCGTGTTTGATGCTCCGATATGAAGGTATGGTTTGATTAACCCCTTTTGTGCCATCAGTGTCAAAGTCTGCCACAGAACTATACCACAAATTGTCCTTAAAAGAGGACTATTTTGTATTCTAGTGACCAGTCAATGCATCCTGAAGCTTGAATTCTTGACAGATCTTTTTCTTCTGTGTTTAACATGAAAAGAAAAAAATACAACTCAAGATGTTGATGGCATAGAAGGGGTTAACATAAAAATGTAGAAAAAATGTACTCACAGATTATCTCTATGATATTATGTTAGTAAAGAATTCTAGCAGGTTTCTAACCATTTTGGGAAATGCCAGATGGAAAGAGAAAACAATAGTAAATAAATTAAAGCAAACTGCAAATATAATGCTAAAGATTTTAATGATCTTTACAATATTTCTTAATACTTTAACAAAGATATTTACAATTCAACTGCTGTATGCAGTGTCCTTCCCAATATTTCAAGGGTACTTCTGAGATCTGTATGACCTTGATACATATTCAATAAAGTAAAGCTTTTTGAAATTATATTACTACTGCATATTTATACATTCTAGCAACTTGCATGAAAGAATCCTTCCAGAAAGAGAGCAAAAATCTTTTTGTTCTCTAAGAAACTGCGAGTGTTAATAGTTTAGAGCAATTAGATGATTCAGAATCGGTCTTTGATTATGCAATGTGTTAAATCCAACATATCACCTGATTGCTTTGACAGTAAACGGAGGTTGGGGTTGCTGGGGTGAATGGGGCGAGTGTTCAGCAAGCTGTGGTAAAGGTATCAAGCAACGTTACCGTGAATGTACCAGCCCTCTACCACTCAACGAAGGACAGGATTGCGTAGGAAGGAACGTGGAGGAAGCCCCTTGTGATGGAGTAGACTGTCTTAAACCAGAAGTATTTGACTGTGAGTTCATTTGCTAATATTCAAGTAATGCCCCCTTAACAGGACTCGAGTTTTCCTGCTTTAATATTTAAAAACATCCCTAATTGTCACTTGGTTAGGTCCTTACCGTGATTTTTCCCAAATTTGTTTGCAGAGTTGAAAGGGTGAATCAATACATTTTTGTGTGTCTTTTTCATTTGATTAATATCCATATTTAATAAACAAGAATTAAAATCCCTGACTGGATATATCTTAATAGGGGAAAGCTGTAGAAAAGTTCTAAAATGTGTAGAAGTTCATATTGATTTACGTTTGACGATTCTGGATGTGACATTATATATTTCTATACTTTTCCTTGTTGAGCAGATCTTTCTGAAATGTTCTTATATGAAAATATATTAAGGGAGAGAGTTTGAAATTGCTACACATTGTGTCAAGGAAACAAATATCAGCAGTGAAATTCCAGGTATGTTCTATTCATTATGCCCTTATATATCCGAGTGTTAATCTATCATTGCTCCTCTTTCTTCTCTTTATTACAGTACCCAACTGGCCCGGTATATCAGTCCGAACCGGTCAGCGTGACCCATCAGGGGTAGCAGGAGGTGCTCCCATTGATACCAATCTTGGCTGGAAGGTGTGGAGTAAATGGTCCTCATGTAGCCACAAGGGTCGTCGCCACAGGAGCAGAAAGTGTGAAAGTCCCATGCCTCTTTACAAGCAATGTATGGGATGCGTGAAGGAGATCGACTGGTGTTATGAAAATGGTAAAGATAGAATGCTATTTTCTGTCGGTTCTTAAATGATCAACATAAATGATTATGTATACCTGCATTATGACATTTGTACTTATATTTTCTTGTCATTTTGATTTCGAGAAGAGCTAGAAGAACTTTATTCTATTTCTTTCAACCAAATTTGCAGCATAACATACTTTCTGTCTCTTAAAGTAGGACAATATACCAATGCTTTGATAGCAGCAGCTTAAAGAGACTGTAAATTGGTTATTCATTTCCATTGCAGTATAAGTCCAGTCACGTATATAGATGGAATGATGTGAGAAAATTAATTGTTCTTTGTAATGATGATGATTCTTGTATAGTTTTGGTATCCAACTCTGTTGTGCACTCATGGCACTAGCTCTACAATGTCTCACAAAAATTCTGCATTCTAAGAGAATAAGCACAACAAAAATCTATAGCGAATTGAAGGTATTGATCATTAATGTATCTAAATGTGTTCAAATCTCTTTTTCTCACTTCACCAGAGGATACACCAGCCTCACCTTTCCAAGTTCCAGCCGTTCAGAGACTTCAAGCGACTCCTAACTGTTCCAACCAGGGTGAATCCATGGAACCACTCTACTTCTGCATCGTGGCCATCGTCGCCGCCGTCGCTGGTTCAATCATGTCTCTCTCAGTCTACATCTCATGGCAAAAGAACAACAAGAGGCGGGACGCGACCAAGCTCGACTACGACGAGGAGGAGGATGACTTCGGAGACATGGCGCAGTACTCCGACTCTGAATACTCGTTCGATGGCAGCGAATCGTCGCCGGCGCATATCACCTCGAATCCAACAGAACTGGAAAACGAGAGATGAACCTGAAGAATATCTACAGACTCTTTTTGTATTTTGAGATCGAGTGTTATCACGAGATATGCCATAGTGGACTTTTTTCTTGTGCTGCATCTCGAGAAGCAGTTATCCTCTTTTGGAAGCAACTTCGAACCTCAAGAAACGATGCGTGATGGTATTCTTGCACCTTATTTATATATACATATATATATATTCTATTTTTCCCTTGTGAAGTTCAGCTGTATTCATTTGGTGTATTGTCCTATTTATGAGTGTCAGTCACTGACAAGTTAAAGTAAGCTTAAACTGTGAAATGGACGCAAACATACTTGTATTGCTTATTTCTGTTGATTGCTGAGGAGGATTGTGGAGACTATATTCCAGTGGAAGAGATGAAAGGACATGTGGAAATCATCTATGCAAATTAATGAGGACGGACATCAATGGAATGACAAGAACTTGGATATCGATCGAGAGAAACCGATTCTGCAGGAGAAACAAGTTTGCATCCTTTACTTTGAATATTGTTAAAACTATTTATAGTGTCACATTTCATAAAAGTATGAACAAAATTCATTTAAAAAGCTCACACAGTCAAAAGTCAGCTGGTGGCACTATGTATGAAACAAGCAATAAGCACTGTGGTTATATGTAGCTTTAATTCTTGATTATTTTTTCTTCTGTTATATATGAAAAAATTGTAACAATACACTGACAAATATGAAAAGAACATTGTCGATCAGAACAAAGAAAAGCTTCTTTATGTTGTATTCATTATGATATGCTTCTCATTACATTTTTGATTTGTGAAATTGTTATAATCTCCATTGATTAGCTTAAACATATGGCGTTATATGTTGTATATACATTTTATTTATATTAGCAATATCATTAATATGCTGATATTGCATGTAATGTACATTTATGTTACCCAAAATTGTGAGCACAGTTTTTGTTAGTATCATGAGTTGTTCAATACATGTTATTGCAAGAGATTACTTGTTGTTTATTGTCTGATTTTGCTTTTGTTGTTGACATTTTCCCCTAATTTCTGTGTTAATTTGTTAGACTAGCATTATATTGTGGGTTTGCCAGGCAACATACCTTTGAACCTTCATAAGAACATTTGTGAATTAAAAAACTTTGTACCAACTATTTTCAATAATGCGAATTGCATTCTACAAATAAATTTGTCCACTAAAATTGGTCTGCTTTGCGTAATCTTGAAAATACATCTCGTTGTACACCAATTATCCCAATTTTCATTCCAAAATCCAATACTGCTTTTTGATCTCTCAAATTCAGTTCTTTAAAAAATTCTTTTTATTCATGGCACTCTATCAAGATATTTTACTTCAGTTGTAATTTCAAAATTCTTGTGCTAAATGTACTGTAATTTGAATCTTTCACAGCAATAAAGTTATGCAGCTCAGCTCTTCACTTACATTTATTTCCCTTCCATTATAGACTTTGTAAATTCTGCTTGAATTACAACTTTTGATGTTTTCAATTTAAATGTCAAAAGGCAATGATGCACATGACAAATCCACCCATTTTTAAGGTTGAAAACATGGTTACATGTTATTATAGTTTCCGTAACATATATTAATTTTGAGGGAAAAATGAAATAATAAATCGTGATTGTATTAAAATTGTGTACAAACCCAGACAGCTATATATGGTATTTATATTATTGTAATATATATTGTAATGAATTGTATAGGTTGCCTTGTATTAAATGCACATATCTTTGTACTAGGGTGATTATTAACGAGACTTTTAAACATCACACATTGTTTTGTCTCTAAAGATGGAATATTTTTGTCATTTTGTATGTGTATATAATTACATGACACAGATATTGTGTTGATAAAAGTCAGCTTTTATGAAATGTATTGTAACCATTTAAAAAGGTTGATACTTGAGCTTATATTTCAGTTTGTGTAATGAAAGGTACTTTATCAGAACAATCATGTCAAACATTTTTACATCGATATAGACTGGGAAATTATGTGAAATTCATTTTAAAACTGCCTTTTTGAAAAAGCTTTCTCACTGCTGCTTTAACAAGTTCATGCATAATGGTTTTGAATTTTTTTTGTTCACTTGTAAGCAAAGCAACAGCAGTTTTAGATGTTTTTAAAGGAATAATTTTGTCAGTTTTAAAATAAATTCCTTCATATTCTATACTTTGAATAATTTTTTTTTTTGAGGGGGGGGGGGGGGGAGTATTTTGCAACGCCTTTTCTTCAGGAGATAATTTTATTTGTCTTTTTAAGGTCTTGTTTGAAAAGAGTCTCCTTTAACTTGTGAGAAAAGAATTGTTTTTATTTCATTAATCAACATGATGCTACTAGAAGTTGGAAGTTGCTTTTTACGTTGTTCATAATTTACATTTCCCTTGTATTCAAATTAAATTACTTATGCAAATGCGAAAATGTCTTGTTCTTGTGTACCAGTATTTTACCTCTTTTTAGTCAATAAAAGTGATATGCTCTTCTACCTTTCTTTGTACCGGTTGATGATTAATTGAAGTTGATGATCGGTGACAAGGCCTAAAAAAAAAGATGTTGTATTGCCCTTTGCGACCGACCCAAAATTTTTGAAATCGACGGTCGGCTTAAAAAAAAAAAAAATTACCGTTTATTAGAAGCATTCAAAAAGAAGCATTCAAAACTGAGAAATATCAGCCCAAAGAGGCAGTTGTGTTTTTTAAGTAAAAAAAAAAATCTAGACCGACCCATGTTTTGGCACCTAAGGGCAATACAACATCTCTTTTTTTTTTTTAGGCCTAAGCGAAATGCTATTGCAAGGACATTAAAATGCAAGTTCTTTGCAATACACACACACACATTTGTAATTTGTAGGAATATAACATCCTGCAGATGATTATAAAATGAACTACATAACCGAGGACTTATTATTTCCATACCCATACGTATGAAGCACCTAAATAGACGTATCCCTACATAAAAGGGCCCCAAATTCTTAAATGTATTACAAAGTTTTGGTATGGGTCATGAATTGGGTTCAAATTAACATATTGGAAGCATATGCGTTCCTACAATATACATTGATCGTTGTCGCGGTTGAAATCGAGTCTAAAGTTATGAAATTATAAATAATTAAACTCTTTATGTTGTATAGCTCCCTCTCACGGTCAAGATATTAATTTATCTATGAAACAATGTTTCTGGACTAAAATCGACCGATTAGCTATTCCCTTTTGGAAATTATATATCCCAACTACATATTCTGAGATGTTCATGATCGCAGCTACCATTGTACGACCATAGGCCCTATTTGAAATTTATCAAAATTTACCGGGAGCACCGGTAAATTTTTATATTCAATTTTTCTCCAAATCAAAAGTGTTTTAGGGGCCAATTTTTTTAGTGCTTATAATACATTCACAGGGGCATCCAAATATATCAAAATTGTAAAGATTCACTATCCACCCAATTTTCAAAATTTCCCAAAACTTTGTATTACCTAGGATTCAGGAACCACTTTTGTGTGTCATCATCAAAGTGAAGGTACAGTGTCCAATGTAGTCAGTACCCACTCACACACACACAAAATAAGAAACTAGTTCATATAGCCAAGGATGGTATTTGATGGTGGCTCAGAAATTTGATAGTGACAGCTGTGTTTGTAACAGTGGATGATGTGATTTTGAATGTGTGTATGGAGTTATGAATGTTCACGGTATGATTGTGATGGATATCATAAAAGCCTAAAGACCCTTTAGGTGCCAAAACATGGGTCGGAAATCTCTTTTCCTTTTTTACTCCCTCTTTGGGCTGATATTTCTCAGTTTTGAATGCTTCAATACATTTTTTTTCTTTAAAAAAACAGTAAAAAAAAAAAGCCTGCCATAGATTTCAAGACTTTTTGGGTGGGTTGCAAAGGGCATTACAACATCTTTTTTTTATAGGTCTAGCAGTGTTGATTAAAGTTGAACAGGTGAAAATGTTATAATTTTCCAATCATACATGAGGATGACTGCTGCCATACCAAATTGTTCATAGATACCATCTTTAACTGTCTAAATGCCAGAAAAACACATTTTCACCATATCAAAGACTTTGATCAACACTGAACGATACCCATTATCAGCCAAAACAAAATGATATGAACTTTCAGAAAATTAAATTTGCATTCACAATGGTTTAATAACAAAGCACAAAACTATACAAAAATAGGTTTATAATGCAAAGTATTCACTTTAATAATCACATAGTGAGTGATGTTAAAATGGCTTACGGTAGTCAAGCTTCCTTTTACCCCCGAAAACCATTTTTAGTGAATTCAGATTTTAAAAATTGGAATATTATAAATCCTTATGGACTTCCAATTACCTCCCTCTCATTTTCTACATAACTGATTTGACATCCAATGAAAATATGTACTTAAAAACTGAGTTAAAGTTTATTTCCCATTGCAAATGGAATAATTATGATAGTGGTTCACAGTGATAAACGACATGCTGCAAATACTTCTTAAACATTTTGATGAATGACTGTCTTTTCTTCTTGCAACAAATTGATGAAGAATTATGTCCAAATATTCAATTTTAGCCATTTAAAGGCAGCATCCACCAACTGTCCATCACTGCGAATACTGGAAAAGCTTTTAAACTTTTTCATGGGAATTCCTCCATATACATTCTTTAACCCAAAATGAAGAGTGAGATTTATTCACATTTGAGATTTATTCACATTCGCGATTCCTAAAATAGAAAATAAAATAAATACTCAAAATTTGTTTCTAAAAATATTGTTTAAAATGGTATTCCTGTGCCAAAAAAGCAAAGCAATGATATTTCCTATGTTACAAAAATGTTTTAAGGAACTTCCTTTTTTCTGTAAAAACAACATGATGTTACTCTACAACACAGATTTATCAATTTTTTCAAATGAATTAAATCTTCATATGAACTTTATGGGATAAATCATGAAATGGCATGATCCTAGATTACTCTTCTTCTTGAACACCAAATTAAATCATAATAAAAAATAATTAAAAAATGGGCCAGTAAAATATACACAATGTACAAAACAAACACAAAATCTTGTTAAAATAGAAAAGGAAGAGAAGTACATACCTAGTCAATGCTAAACATATCAAAACTGCGTAATAATGATTTATGCCTTACACAGATGAGAATATGAGTTTGGGGAGCACATAAGAAACATGTTCTTGCATGAATAAAAAACATGGACAATGTAATAAGCAGGGGCTATCTTCATCTTGAATTGAATTTGAGTCTCCAGAATCTAGACTTAGGAATAATAACCTCCAATGAAAAACAAATAGTACATGGTCCTTTCTCATTAATCATTCACTGTCTAAAATTCTAAAAAACAGAACAGTAGAAGAGAATTATCACAAATACTAAATGTCACCATGGAAACTACATATTTACACAGTATATACCTTTTACCATGTCAAGTTCGGGACGAATGCTGAATTATGCACAGTGATATCGGAGAACGTGCTTCTAGAATGCTACAAGGAGGTGATGAAATAGGGAATTTGGACTACGGGAGATTATAATTCAGCAATATTTTAATACTTACAAAAGAAGGATCGAACAATAGCATGAAAGTCAATATAATGAACATTTTTCACCACACCTTCTAACCAATTCAATATTCAGTACAATTCTTTTCAAGTAATGTGTGCATGATTTCTTTTTAATAACAAATTCATATCATGCATGCCTACAGTTCAAGTTATCCACATCAGATGGTTTACCTAAATTTGTATATCTTTGCATGGGTCAGCAAATCCTACTTACAATACTGTGAATTTCTGTACAAGACATTCAAAATCATTTTTCTTCTCAATGGTATCCCGTCACAAGCTCTTCCAAATGGATCTTATTTATCAGTCTACAATCCATCATAATTATGTACACAAGCCTCCTTCCATCTTGCCCCGGCCCTCCCCCCTACATCACCGTTCCCCAGGTCCCAGGGTTCCTTCCCTAGCGTTTTCGTGTGCGTGTGTTCCTGGCAGCAGCTCTTCTTGGACTCTTCTTCTTCCCACCCTCCTCCTCAGCCTCCTCCACAACTTCATCCTTGACCTCTCCTCCTTCATCTCCACCGACCGCATCGGTCACTTCCATCACATCTTCTTCTTCCTCTCCTCCTTCTTCATCAAGAACTTCTGTCACTTCTTCTTCTGCCTCCAGATCCTCCTCTAGATCCTCCTCCATCACTTCTTCTTCTTCTGCCTCCTCTTGAGCTTCTTCTGGCGTTTCCATCTCGCTTTCCTCTGCAGTAACTGTAAGAATTGCGCATCAAATGTTTATAAGTAGAAGCTGTCATGCCCATATTCTGGAAAATACTACAATGCTTTTACGTGAATGTTAAAAACTCCTCAAGGGTGAGAACCATGATATGAATATATTCTATAAGGTGCAAGATAAAAGACTACATGGGCAAGTCAAAGCTGTTTGGTAATTTGTGTCCCATCAAATCTTACATGTGTAAACATATTATTCTTCTTCGTCTTCTTTTGCCAGAAATTATTGTAGCATACTAGTTTGAAACTAGAAGGAACTTTGACTGCGCGCAGTCGATAATGATGCTTCCGCCATAGAGCAATTTTACAAACCAAAACGGAAGCAATTTCTAAAATTCCAGTTTGATTGTAATCCATCTGTCAGTTCCAATGATAATGCGTTCACAAGCTATCTATAGGCATACACAATGAGCCCCATGACCTTTGACCTCATGAGCCGTAAATCTTATCAGTTCTCATGATATTGCGGTCACAAGCTATTTTTTTAAATAAAAAAAAGAGCCCCATGACTTTTGACCTTTGACCTCATGACCCTAAAATCTACTCAGTCCATTAGCTCTGTAAGCTACATACATGACCCAAGTTTGGCAGTAATCCATCAATTGGTTCTTGAGATAACGCGATCAAGAGCTATTTTTGCATACATAATGAGCCCTGTGACCTTTGACCTCTTGACTACAAAATCTGATAAATTCATTAACTCTGCAAGATACATACATGACCCAAGTTTAGGGGTCTCTCCATCAGTTGGTTCTTGAGATAACGCGATCACAAGCTATTTTTGCATTCATAATGAGCCCTTTGACCTTTGACCTTGTGGCCCCCAAATCTAATCAAGTCATTAGCTCTGCAAGATACATACATGACCCAAGTTTGGTGGTAAGCAATCAATTGGTTCTTGAGGTAACGCGATCACGAGAACGGGACGTACGGACGGACGGACAACCAGAAAACATAATGCCTCCAGCTACTTTGTAGCGTAGGCATAAAAAAAACACTTTTTAATATTCTTGTAACCATCCATTCTCACTGACCTGTGGGCTTGTCTGCGTCTTCCGGGATAGTTGTATCGCTATCCTCATCGGCTGCAATGCCTTCCTCAGCAGCCTTTGCTTTTTCTGCAGCTTTGGCTTGCTCAGTGGCCTTTGCTTCCTCAGCGGCCTTCGCTTGCTCAGCGGCCTTGGCTTCCTCAGCGGCCTTAGCCTCCTCGGCCATCTTTGCTTCCTCGGCAGCCTTAGCCTCCTCAGCGGCCTTAGCTTCTTCGACGGCCTTTGCCTCCTCAGCGGCCTTTGCTTCTTCTGCGGCCTTTGCCTCCTCAGCGGCCTTCGCTTCCTCAGCGGCCTTTGCTTCCTCAGCAGCAAGTTTCTCTTCCTCCTGATTGCGTTGTGCTAGGGCAGCAGCTATGGCTGCTCGTTTATCCTGCACAAAGGGAAGAGTAAAGCCACAGATGTCGTAAACTTCTGTGATTTTTATGCCTAGCCGGAGGCATTACCTTTTCAGGTTGTCTGTCCGTCCGTCTGTACGTCCCGTTCTCATGATCACGTGGTCACAGTGCTCATTATGTATGCAAAAATAGCTTGTGATCTCGTTATCTCAAGAACTGAATGATGGATTCCTGCCAAACTTAGGTCATGTATGTATCTTGCAGAGTTAATGAATTGATTAGATTTTGGGGTCACAAGGTCAAAGTGCTCATTATGTATGCAAAAATAGCTTGTGATCTCGTTATCTCAAGAACGGATTAATGGATTCCTGCCAAACTTAGGTCATGTATGTATCTTGCAGAGCTAATGAATTGATTAGATTTTGGGGTCACAAGGTCAAAGTGCTCATTATGTATGCAAAAATAGCTTGTGATCTCGTTATCTCAAGAACCGATTAATGGATTCCTGCCAAATTGTAGGTCATGTATGTATCTTGCAACGCCAATGAATTGCTTAGATTTTGGGGTCACAAGGTCAATAGTCAAAGGTCACAGGGCTTATTATGTATGCATAAATAGCTCGTGAACACATACCATTGACAGATTACCATCAAACGCAGGACATGTATGTATCTTGCAAAGCCAATGAACTGATTAAATTTTAGGGTCATGAGGTCCAAGATAAAACGGTCATACATGTACATGAAAAATAGCTTGTTATCGCGATATTCTGAGAACCTGTTAATGGATTACAATTAAACTTGAATTTGAAAAATTGCTTCTGTTTTGGTTTGTGTAATCGCTCTATGGCGGAGGCAAGTTCCATCTAGTTTAAATATAATAACGTAAGGGTACCAAGCTTTGCATTTCTGTGGCCTATATTATAGAGCTCAGTGAATTTGTGTGGGACCTTTGTTGTGTGCAGTTTTTAAAATAAGCCGTAAGGATACAAAACACTGGAAATGAAATGGTCCATATTTTTCACAAATCTATGTTCTTATATAGACAGCTTGGTTCAGTTTTTGCAAATTGAATCACTATAAAATGGAAGAGGAAAATAATGGCAGTACCACAACTGTAATACACATGGTATGCAATATTCCATATACTATTTTCATTACATCAAATGGCTTCTAGATTATTATAATGTTATGTATTTCCTTACTTGATAAAAGCTAATCAATACATTCATTGAACAATCCTTTTTGGTGATTACCTTACCCATTGAATTCTATGCCCAAAATGACTCAAGTACGTTATATCAAACTAAGTTGTATTCAACTGGTTAGACCTTATTGAAACTTTTAATATGAGCAGCCATCACAACTCCAGTCAGTAGATCCAGATGCCGTTAAAGAAAATTATCTTAAAAATTATAGCCAATTTCAGATGTCACTAATGATGGCAATTATACGAGAAGTAATAGGGGTGGTGCTCAGCCCATACCTTGGTTGCTTTGAAGTGAGACTCGGTCCTACAGTGGGTCACCCAGGCGCTGGCCTCGTTGGTATAGAAGCGACGACACAGCTTGCAGAAGAAACCTGTGACAGGCACCACGTACTGAACCCCTGGTAGCCATAAGAAACAAGGTACAACAACATGTTAGTTAAAGATTCAAATACTACGATGCTAGTTTCAGTTGCACCCTCGAAACTAGCGACGTAAGCATGGGATGCCTTGTGCCAATTTGACTTTTGGATGTTATGAACTGTTCTGTGACCCGAAAGATGCGAAGAGTTCAAATCAATCAAACCCTTAGAGGTCCTACATGTAGATGAGAGAGCCGAATATTTGTTGCTTTCACATTTCACCTTGAATTAAAATCAACACCCAAACGTGAAGATTGTTTATAGGAAAGACTTTCCTTGTTGTCATAATGTATATTCATGAGAAAGACTGAGCTTGCAGCATCGCTGAGCCGTTTGCAGATTCAGAACATTGCAAACATATCAGCTGTTCTTTGCTGTGTTTGTATGGTCTTAAGAGCAAGTCAAATTCAGAAGCTTGCAACCATCTCTATTGCTCTTCCAATAAAGCTAAATATTCCTGTTTCGTTTGCTTTTTTTTGTCTTTCTTGTCTTCCAGAGAAAATAGGGCATCCACATAAAATTAAATATAAACTTAGGGACTTTTCATTTGTTAAATAAAACTGGATGTTCTGAAAAGAAGTTTAAGATATACAAGTATATCTCTTGCATTCAAGATCCAGTACAGAGAGGCAAGCACATGAGCGTACCTTCTCTCCAATGTGTACTTTGATAAACACAAGTTCTCTAAAACTCTTTTAGCTCCAGTTCAAGATTCATTAAAACACAAAGGGGTATTGATCAGATCCATTAAAATTCAATAATCTTGTGATGTGAAGACACAGTACTCTTAGCTCATCATCAGAGCTATTTTCTTGATCAAACTCAATGAATGTGTGAGAGAATTCAATGCGTCTTTTGGCACTAACAGACCAATATAGGGTGGTGTTGATGCAGTGTAAAGGTGTGTAGAGGTGTTGTGGTCTAGTGGATAAGTCATCCGACTGCAGGTCACAAGGTACGGGATTCAAGTCCTGCCGCAGCACCAATGACCTTAATCTACATTTGCCACTCTCCACCCAGGTTTAAATGGGTACCCGGTAGGATAAGAACGTTAATAAGGTTGGATGAGCAAGTGTGCGCTTGTAAAATGGCGACTAGCCGGAATGCTCCCTAGCACTCCCTAGGGAGTGGAGAATGTGCATACATTGTGTGCGGGTAAGTCTGAATCCGATTACCTGGGTAATAATACATCTGTCAAGGACACTTAGACACATCATATCGATGTATTGGGCGCTACATAAAAGCGGAATATTATAATTATTATCACACCTCTTGCTATCGTTGGATTGAAGTAATATTTGATGAGCAAAGGAGACCAGCAATGGAAGCAGGAAATGGTAGATTCACTGCTCAACTACACTAGTCACTTGTTCATCTTTTACAAGTAACGGTAAGTACAATATTTGGCCAAAAATGTAGACATGTACAATGCCATGGTGGTGTAGATGCCTTTTTAAGTGGGATCCACATGGACTGTGACATCTAAGCTCGCAACATAACCGAGGGGCTCTCCCAATAATGCAGCAATGACTTCATCTTTCTGATTGTGTTATGTATTCCCTCAAATCCGGTAGGTTGTTGCATCAAAATCAGCCAACCATCGAGGATCGATTTTGACTAGTTGACAGCCCCAGTGAGGATCCCCTTCAATACCAGGCCGAATTCCAGTGGTCCCTCATACTTTTCTCTTAGGGTGCATGAAAGTAAGGGACCACAAACAGATCAACTCGATCAATCAATCTAGTGGGTAAGTAACCCGACTACAGATCACAAGGTACGGGTTCGAGTCTGGCCACGGCACTAATGTCCTTTGGCAAGACATTAATCTACATTTGCCACTCGCCACCCAGGTGTTAAATTGGTACCCGGTAGGATGCAAAAGTTAACGTGGATGGTTGAGCAAGTGTGCGCTTGTAAAATGGCGACTGGCCGAAACGCTCCAAAGGGAGTGGAGAATGTGCATACATTTTGTGCGGGTTAACCTGAATCAGATGACCGGGGTAATAATGTATTTGTAAAGCGCTTAGACACATCGTTGATATTATTATTAAATAATAAGCGGAGATGCTGCAAAAGAATCTGGTCATAGGTAGCAAATGACAAATTATACTTTATCTGTTTCAATACAGTAGTCAAATACGAGTACACTATAAGTGCACTGAAAACATTGACTACCCACTTTAAATTCCTTGCACTTTAGTAATGGTGACATCGTGTGAGAGGATTAGCAGGCATGCATTATCGGTACGTGCTAATTGCAAGGATGACAAAGCCATTTACCAAAAGAATGTCTTGTGTTTGATCACTTGGATATCACAAAAGAAATGCCATATTTTTTTCCACCGTTGTCATTTGTCCAATATTTGGCTATGTATACTTTTGACACTTGTATCTAATGAACTCCAGCATGAGGAAAACCCACTAACATCACAGCAATTCAGTGAGCACTGTACAGATGTCGTATGAATTTGCTATGCCATTTGTGGTTCATATTTCATTGGTATACTGTTTCAGGAATTGCTATAATCCATGCAAAGTTTTATAGCCACGAATAGAACATCAAGGCATGAAATATCCCATTTTCCAGGTATTGTCTGAGAAGGCAATACCGGAACCTTCTTTTATCCCTCTGCTTCCAAACTACATCTATAGTTCATTGAATTTTTTATTCCTGAATATGCCAAGCTCTTTCTTGCATGTAAATTTTCATTTTAAAGACTTCCAGATATTGAAACACCTCTAGCGTATGCTCTCAATGTCAACTTGTACGTCTTTCTTGAAATGAAAATGAATCGTCTAAAAGTGAGAACAGAAAAATTGCTGTGAAATTTAGCAATATTTCAACATTTCACTTTAGAGTAGGATGCAGTGAAGAACCTTTTTTTTCCATGTGAAATTGGTTTTTGGTTCAATTCAATAACAGAAGTTGTAAATCTGATTTTGTAGGTTCCATAGCACGGTAAGGCAAAAATCCAGGCCGATAAACATGACTGACTATGTGCTAGAATTCAATGCAATGCTGCCAGCTTGACAGAGCTGCTTATCTATAACGAAAGCTTGCTGGGTAGAGGTTTAATTAAAGACCTGATAATACACCTCCAAGAGACATGAAACTATCAACACATACATAATAGACGAGCTCTTGGAGGGTACAATCTGCAAAGACGTGGTAGGTTAGAGAAATGCACACTTGCATCTCAATCTTACAAACCACAACGTCAAGGTCTTTTAGATGAACATTAGCCATGGCTAACAAAAAGGGATGACGTTTACTTGAGGGGTGTTGGGAGAAACGAAGTTGAACTTCTAGAGCCTGGAGGCTCGTGATGATAACCTACCCACGGAGACGTTTCGATTGAAAACAGACAAATCTTCCTCTTGGTCTTCTTCGACTGACTTGTGTGCTGGTCCGGATTTGGTTTGGGAATCTGCAGTGGCCGCAGAATCGGCCTCACCAGGCTCGTTCTGAGCCTGGTCAGACGTGGTGGTCAATGTCTGACCATTCTCGTCTGAAGATTTGGCAGTTGTGGATTCCCCATCAGCTTTTTCCTGGAAAGGTTTCATTCAAATAGATAATCATATCAAATGCTTCATTGTTCTTTAACTTCATTTTCACAAGCAGGTTTTTTTTTAAATAAATATCAATGACTACTAGAACCTGCAAATTCAAAAACTTCTAAAATCTATACACATATCATATGAAGTCAGACAAATCAACTAGCCTTATTACTTTGTTTATAAAATATAAAAGCATTCTAATATCAAAATCAAAAAGGCCAAGTTCTACAAGGTTCTTTATGCTATTTTACGTGATAAATATTAAAAACCCACTGATTTCATATTTCATAGCTGCTTACGAGTTCACTCTGAAGTGAACAAAGAAGAAGTATAGTTTGTTGTTATAAACACCAACTGCATCACTGACATATTCAAAGCAATAGTGAAGGCTAAATATATTAAATGTATCACAAAAATTATCACTATATCAGTTACTCCTGGTTAAAGAACTATAATTAACATCAAATTATCATAATGGTTCATGTTCCATTTCACTCACTGCTGTGGGGGATTCCATTTCAAACATATCCGGGATCTCCCCTTTCTCTTCCACCATCTGTAAAAAAAAATATTAAAAAAAATATTAAACACCTAATTTTCAGACACAGGCCTCGAATTACATCAAATTTGGGTCAAGGCCACTTTTTTGAGAGGGCACAAATCCACTGAAAGGGGCACAAATCTATCCTAAGGGGCACTAAGGCCAACGTGGAAAGTGCGCGTAAAATCACCTCACGCCGTTGTTTTCAAGGTCGGGGGGGGGGGGGGATATGTGAACCCAGGGGCGGATCCAGGATTTCTTCCTTAGGAAGGGGGGGGGGCCCACTTTTTTTTTTGTCCCAACGACTCAGCCAGCCGCTGAATAAGCGGGGGGGGGGTAATTTTGACATTTTGTTCCCTTTGGAGTGGGGGGAGGGGTGGGGGGGTGAGGTCACCTTTTTTAGATCAGCCATTGGCATAATTTTTTTTTGTGTGTGTGTTTCATTTTAAAAAAAAGGGGGGGTTTGCTCCAAAATACAGACATAAAAAAAACCGAAGGGGGGGGGGTTTAAAGCCCCAAACCCCCCCCCCCCCCCCCCCCCCCTGCGTACGTGCCTGCTCGTCTGAATACAGTTCCCCTCCCTCCGCGCAAAGCGCGGAAGCTTTTACGTCTCATTAAATCATTAGAGAAAGAAAGGGATTCGTTGTACCGTTTTTTACTCTTAATCCTCGTCTAAATTCACCCCCCCCCCCTCCCCCGCAAAGCTCGGAAGCTTTTACGTTTCATTAAATCATTAGAGAAAGAAGACGATTCGTTGTCCCGTTTTTTACTCTTAATCCTCGTCTAAATTCATCCCCCCCCCCTCCCCCGCAAAGCTCGGAAGCTTTTACGTTTCATTAAATCATTAGAGAAAGAAGACGATGCGTTGTCCCGTTCTCGACTCTTAATCCTCGTCTGAATTCAGTTCCCCCCCCCATCCGCGCGCGCAAAGCTCGGAAGCTTTTACGTTTTATTAAATCATTGGAGAAAGAAGACAATTCGTTGTATCGTTCTCGACTCTTAATCCTTGTCTAAACTCAGTTACCCCACCTCCTGCGCGATCGAAGCGCGGAAGCTTTGACATTTAATTTAATTATTTGAGAAACAAGACGATTCGTTGTACCGTTCTCGAAAATAATCCTCGCCTGCATGAATACAGTTTTCCCCTTTCCGCGCAAAGCGCGCAAGCTTTTATGTTTCATTAAATCATTAGAGAAAGAAGACGATTCGTTGTACCGTTCTCGACTCTTAATCCTTGTCTGAATTTCAAAACTGTTTTTTTTTGTCTGCTCCTTTTTCTTCATACGTCCTTTTCCTTTTCTCTCCTCTCTTTTTTTGGCTTTTTTTTTTTGGGGGGGCGCCCCCACTGCCCACCCCCCCCCCCCCCCCCCCCGGCTACGTGCCTGCGGTCAGATGAACATCTTTTGATACCTTGTTCACCCCCGGAAACTCATGGGTTGAAGGCAAATTACGGTCAGATAAGCATTCAGGGGCCCGCCTCAGGGCCCCTGGTGGAGTCGAGGGTGCGGAAACCCCTGAATTTCAGGGGTTTCAGGCATTTGATTACGGTCAGATGAACATATTTTTATACCTTATTTGTGACACTGGCAGGATACTGATTGGCGTGAGGTCCAGCGGAGCCCATGGGTTTAAAGCATTACATTACCGTCAGATTAGCATCCAGTGGGGTCCAGGGGGCAGATCCCCCGGAAGCTCAGGGGTTTAAGCATTTGATTACAGTCAGATGAACATGTTTTTATACTTTATTTGTGACACTGGCAGGACACTGATTGGCTTGAGGTCCAGCGGGCGGAGCCCCCAGAAGATCAAGGGTTTTAGGCACTAAATTGCAGTCAGATGAGTATCAAGAGGCCTGCCAAAGGGCCCTTGGTTGGGTCCCGGGGGCAGAGCCCACGGAAGCTCAGGGGTTTTAGGCGTTTAATTACGATCAGATGAGCAATTTTTGATACCTTATTTTGTTGAGAAACTGGTAGTTAACTATTTTTTCTTTCTTGCTCTCTTTCTTTCTATTTCTCTTTAAAATGCTTTTCAAAAAAAAAAAATTGGGGGGGGGGGGAGCTGGAGGGGGGGGGGGGGAGTTTTCCCCTTTGACGTTTCATTGAATTATTAGAGAAAGAAGATGATTCGTTGTACCGTTCTTGACTCTTTATCCTTTTCTGAATTCCAAGGGAAGCGCAGAAGCTTAGACGTTTTTAATAAATTATTAGGGAAAGAAGACGATTCGTCTCGATCTCGACTACCGGTATTATCCTTTTCTGAACTCAATTCACACCCCTCCCGCGCGATGGGCGGAAGCTATGACGTTTTAATTAAAACGTATGGGAAAGAAGACGATTCTTTGTACCATTATCTCGACTCTTAATCCTTTTCTGATTTAATTCCAGACCCTCCTCCCGAGAAAAATCCAAGTTTTTCACTGATTAAAAACTGTGAAAACGCACCCAAAAAGGTCACAACGCGAAGTAAAGATGTTGAACCAACGATGGGTAAACAAAACTTCCCGATATTGATTGGTTCAAATAAAAAGGATGGATTGAAAAACTAAGCCTTAGTCATTACGGTTTTTGTGCCAAACGTTTCAGTCATTTGGATGAAGACATTCTTTCATATCTCCGTATCGGCAATTAAGTCCCGCCAATTAAGTTAGGAGTTCCATAGTGGAAATTAAGTCTCGCCAATCATTATTGTTTTAGAACTCCGTAGGGGCAACAAAGTCTTGCCGATTATCATTGTTTTAGATCTCCGTAGGGGAAACAAAGCCTTGCTGATAATTATTGTTTTAAGAGCTCCGAAGGGGCAACAAAACCTTGCCGACTATTATTGTTTTTAGAGCTCCGGAGGGGCAACAATACCTTCCGGTAATTATTGTTTTTAGAGCTCCGGAGGGGCAACAAAACCTTGCCGACTATTATTGTTTTTAGAGCTCCGGAGGGGCAACAAAACCTTCCGGTAATTGTTGTTTTTAGAGCTCCGGAGGGGCAACAAAACCTTGCCGACTATTATTGTTTTTAGAGCTCCGTAGGGGCAACAAAACCTTCCGGTAATTATTGTTTTTAGAGCTCCGGAGGGGCAACAAAACCTTGCCGATAAATATTGTTTTTAGAGCTCCAGAGGGGCAACAAAACCTTCTGGTAATAGTGATTTTAGATCTCCGGAGGGGCAACAAAACCTTGCCGACTATTATTGTTTTTAGCGCTCCGTAGGGGCAACAAAACCTTCCGGTAATTATTGTTTTTAGAGCTCCGGAGGGGCAACAAAACCTTGCCGATAAATATTGTTTTTAGAGCTCCGGAGGGGCAACAAAACCTTGCCGACTATTATTGTTTTTAGAGCTCCGTAGGGGCAACAAAACCTTGCCGACTATCATTGTTTTTAGAGCTCCGGAGGGGCAACAAAACCTTCCGGTAATTATTGTTTTTAGAGCTCCGGAGGGGCAACAAAACCTTGCCGATAAATATTGTTTTTAGAGCTCCGGAGGGGCAACAAAACCTTGCCGATAAATATTGTTTTTAGAGCTCCGGAGGGGCAACAAAACCTTGCCGACTATTATTGTTTTTAGAGCTCCGGAGGGGCAACAAAACCTTGCCGACTATCATTGTTTTTAGAGCTCCGGAGGGGCAACAAAACCTTCCGGTAATTATTGTTTTTAGAGCTCCGGAGGGGCAACAAAACCTTGCCGATAAATATTGTTTTTAGAGCTCCGGAGGGGCAACAAAACCTTCCGGTAATTATTGTTTTTAGAGCTCCGGAGGGGCAACAAAACCTTGCCAACTATAATTGTTTTATGAGCTCCGTAGGGGCAACAAAACCTTCCGGTAATTATTGTTTTTAGAGCTCCGGAGGGTCAACAAAACCTTGCCGATAATATTGTTTTTAGAGCTCCGGAGGGGCAACAAAACCTTACCGATTATTATTGTTTTTAGAGCTCCGGAGGGGCAACAAAACCTTCCGATAATTATTGTTTTTAGAGCTCCAGAGGGGCAACAAAACCTTGCCGATTATTATTGTTTTTAGAGCCTCGGAGGGGCAACAAAACCTTGCCGATAAATATTGTTTTTAGAGCTCCGGAGGGGCAACAAAATCTTGCCGACTATTATTGTTTTTAGAGCTCCGTAGGGGCAACAAAACCTTCCGGTAATTATTGTTTTTAGAGCTCCGGAGGGGCAACAAAACCTTGCCAACTATAATTGTTTTATGAGCTCCGTAGGGGCAACAAAACCTTCCGGTAATTATTGTTTTTAGAGCTCCGGAGGGTCAACAAAACCTTCCGATAATTATTGTTTTTAGAGCTCCAGAGGGGCAACAAAACCTTGCCGATTATTATTGTTTTTAGAGCCTCGGAGGGGCAACAAAACCTTGCCGATAAATATTGTTTTTAGAGCTCCGGAGGGGCAACAAAATCTTGCCGACTATTATTGTTTTTAGAGCTCCGTAGGGGCAACAAAACCTTCCGGTAATTATTGTTTTTAGAGCTCCAGAGGGGCAACAAAACCTTGCCGATTATTATTGTTTTTAGAGGTCCGTAGGGGCAACTAAACCTTGCCGATAATTATTGTTTTTAGAGCTCCGGAGGGGCAACAAAACCTTCCGATAATTATTGTTTTTAGAGCTCCGGAGGGGCAACAAAACCTTGCCGACTATTATTGTTTTAAGAGCTCCGGAGGGGCAACAAAACCTTCCGGTAATTATTGTTTTTAGAGCTCCGGAGGGGCAACAAAACCTTGCCGACTATTATTGTTTTTAGAGCTCCGTAGGGGCAACAAAACCTTGCCGACTATCATTGTTTTTAGAGCTCCGGAGGGGCAACAAAACCTTCCGGTAATTATTGTTTTTAGAGCTCCGGAGGGGCAACAAAACCTTGCCGATAAATATTGTTTTTAGAGCTCCGGAGGGGCAACAAAACCTTGCCGTAAATATTGTTTTTAGAGCTCCGGAGGGGCAACAAAACCTTGCCGACTATTATTGTTTTTAGAGCTCCGGAGGGGCAACAAAACCTTGCCGACTATCATTGTTTTTAGAGCTCCGGAGGGGCAACAAAACCTTCCGGTAATTATTGTTTTTAGAGCTCCGTAGGGGCAACAAAACCTTGCCGACTATCATTGTTTTTAGTGCTCCGGAGGGGCAACAAAACTTGCCGACTATCATTGTTTTTAGAGCTCCGTATGGGCAACAAAACCTTTTTGAACATTACAAGTCGGGTTGGCTTACGATGACTATAATGTCGGCAAAACTTTTGTGGATTAAAATATTGTGGCCGTAAACGGTTTGATTTTGAAAAGGGCATTCCGGCCAGTGAGAGGGGCATGGCGGCAAATTGCCGATTGCCGGTGGGTAATTCGAGCCCTGCAGACACAACTTCATTTGTGACATACTCATATTTGAAAGAATCTGTGCAATATAAATAACTTCAAAACAATAATTTGGTACTTTCTGAAACAAACATGCATTTCAGGGCAACCTCTTCAGGGTTTGTGTATCCAACAAATTGGAAAACTGAGCACATATATATTCCTACCGCTTTGACTTTTACGCTGAACATTCCCCAAACTGCAGTTAATAGGAAAAAAGCAATAACAAACAGAAGCCTAGTTTCTATCATGCTGCATCATAATCCATGTATACAGAGAGAAAGTTAACTCATTGACTACCGACATCCTTTATGCCCATAGGCTCTAACACAGGAGCCACCCAATTCTTGTAGGCAGTGGATTAATCTTACCTTCAAGTGCTCTGGACTCTTCAAATGACGCTTGTAGATACCCATTCCAGGGAAACTTTCGTTGCACAGTTTACACCGAGGACTCTTCTCTATTTTCTTCTCCTATTTAGAAAAGAAAAATCAAAATAATAATAATATTAATAGCATGAGGATTTAGATAGACGATACTCAAGGGAGTAGAACAATTATCTACAGTGACAAGAGTTTCCATAAAGAGAATCTTAGCGTGTCATGGTATTAGATACATGTAAATATTGATCGTATGCCCGTTGCTTTATATATTACTTGATTTATTTGATTTACATTAGTAATAGAACTTTCGCCAAATTTGTTTCAGTATACATAAACATAGTGCAAAGCCCATCATCTTATAAACTCGTAAGTTCTTCATGTACGCAAAATCTTTACTTCTGTGTTTAGTTCAATGGCACATATTTTCTAAACTTATAACGCAAAATTATACGTTTATCCAAGTTTGGAATATTTTGACATAAATTGAATCATATGACTTCTGAAATAATAATAATTACAAAATGAAATGCTATTTATTACACAAACACACTAGTTCAGGTTTACCGTAAAAGAATTATTTGGACACTGACGTCCTTTGCTATAGTGTGATGTTGAGCATGTAAAGGTCATTTTGATATGATGCATGTGTGTTACATACCTTGTGTTTCTCAGTCTGTGCATGGGCTACGAGTGACCCTCTGATATGTTCCTTACACAGCAGACAGAACTTGACCTGGTAGGTCTTGGTCTTGGGCACTACTGCATCTTCGCCATCTCTGAGATTTGAAGATGAAGGACAAATTGTCCAAAATGCATGTTACTCATCGCTTGGAAAAAGAAAAATAAATAGTTGAGGTTGTTTCCCTTCATCTTTAAAAATTTACTTCTAATTTGCATAAAAATCAACATTTGACCTTATTTATACAATTTCATTCATTTCTGAATATTATAATAACAATTTTGCCACATAATGTGATGATTGACACAAAATAATATTGTATGGGTGACATCAAAATTGAAACAATTTAATGAAAATGGATTTATAGTAATGTATTAATTAGGAAAGAGGGAGTATTGGTAATAGTACAAGTAATAGCAGTAGACTGTATTGGAAAGCTAATATGCCACTAGATCCATGAGAATTGTAGCCATTTTGAAGAATGTTCTTGAGACTTCTCAATGGACTATTTGCTGCTTTATTTCTGGCCTGCCCCAAGGATCCCTTCACTCACCCTTCTCCTTCTTTAGGTTTCATCTCCACCTCCTGCTCCACCATCTGGATCTCAGACAGGTTCTCTATGTGCATGTTACTGAACATGTGGTTCTTGAAGGACTGTCAAATTAGTATGATCATAATCATCATTACAATCATAATAATATAACACAGAGCATGTATTAAGGGAGATAATAACTCTTATCTCTTCTACCACTTCCTTATAAACAACTTAGCAGAATCTGAGTTATCCATTATGAAGCTCAAGTTATTATTACTATGGAATTCATGAAATCAAATAAAATTCCCAAATTAAAGGACATTCTTTAATTGTTTCAAATTAGCAATTACAAATAAATCATATCTGACCCTTGACAATTAGCTACATTGTATTCAATTCTATACTACCATCGTCTTATGTTTCCCCATTTATTCAAACAAAAGGCATATTTTTTATAGTTCAAATAATATTCTCCAGACTATATTTCCCCTAACATATGTCACCTTTTCCTACTTCACAACACCACAATTCACGAAACAAAGTAGAATGCACATTCACATAGCTGTACATATACAGTCAAACCTGCTTTAGTGACCACCTGTCTACAAAGACCACTTATTTTCCCCCTTGAAAATGATTACTCTTTGAAACATGTACTAAAGGAATCTGTCTAACAAAGACCACTTTTTGTGTTTCCCTTGGGCTGTCGCTATAGACAGGTTTGATTGTACTTTAAAATCATCAAATAGTCACACATCTTACATGGATATCCCTGCATTGCCACTGGCAGATGTGACAGAACAACTGCTCCAAATTCAATGATCCACCAGGTGACCTGTTTCCACCGAAATTGCCCCTGCCGGAACCACCGAATCTGCCCCTGCCGGAACCACCGAAATTGCCCCTGCCGGAACCACCGAAATTGCCCCTGCCGGAACCACCAAAATTGCCCCTGCCGGAACCACCAAAACCGCCCCTGGGGGCACCACCGAAACCACCCCTGGGTGTAATATTAAACCCGCCCCTTCCACCTCTCTGGCTACTCGAGGATCCAATCGTTCTCTCACGTCGGTTCTTAGTACGGCGCCCTTTCGTGTTGTCTCCAGCTGCTGGACTCCTATCCGAGGACCTATCCACAGGTGTCTAGGAGAGGATCAACAAGGGAATCAATTCAGTCTTTATAGAATACTACAGTTTTCACATAATTGCACTGACAAATCATATAATCAACTAGATGGAACTTCGACTGCGCGCAGTCGAAAATGATGCCTCCGTCATAGAGCAATTTTAGAAACCAAAACAGAAGAAATTTTTAAAATTCCAGTTCAATTGTAATCCATTAACAGGTTCTCAGAATATCGTGATTACAAGCAATTTCTCATATACATATATGACCCTATGATCTTTGACCTCATGACCCTAAAATCTACTCAGTTCATTGGCTCTGCAAGATGTCCTGAGTTAAATAGTAATCCATCTGTCAGTTCTAATGAGAATGCTTTCACAAGCTATTTTTGCATACATAATGAGCCAATGACCTTTGACCTTTGACCTTATGAACCAAGAATCTACTCAGTTTATTGGCTCTGCAAAATACATAAATGAAGTTTGGCAGGAATCCATCAATCTGTTCTAATGATTGTACGATCACAAGCTATTTTTTGCATACATAATGTGCCCTGTGACCTTTGACCTTTGACCTCGTGACCCCAAAATCTAATCAGTTCATCGGCTCTGCAAGTAACATACATGACCTAAGTTTGGCAGGAATCCATCAATCGGTTCTTGAGATAACGCGATCACGAGAACGGGACGTACGTACGTACAGACGTACGCACAGACGTACGTACGGACGGACGGACAACCCGAAAACATAATGCCTCCGGCTACTTCGTAACGGAGGCATAAAAACTTCATCTACAGGTTGTGGGTAGAAAATGGGTGACTGGTACTAAGGTATTACTTGACTGCTCAAGCACCACTTTGAATAGTTTGTCAATACTTTCCAATTGAAGGTTGGAAGCATAAGGACAATTATTTTTCAAGCTGTAAGGGTAATGAATATGTTAAAAACTGTTGTTCCAATGAGGACTCTTTTAACGTTGTATTATCCAATGATTTTACTTTATTTATCATATTGCAAAATTGTATGGGGGCACAGTGCAATGTTTCTTAGAGATAGAATTAAGATTTGCAATTCACAACCCCTTGCCCCCAAAACCCTTTATTTTAAAAATTGTGCATTTTAAAGTTGGATCAAATATGTACTTTGCGAGTAGCAATTTATATGTACTCCTATTCTAAGAACATAAGTTTTAATAATTATTCTACTTCAAATTGTGCAATTCATAGCTATAGTACGAGAATTTCAGAGTACTCAGGATTTTTATTACATAATTATAGTTTTTCACAAACAACAATATCATACATTGGTGTACAATGCTGGAATCCAATACCAATAGAGATTAGGGACAGTCCCACACTTTCTAGATTCAAACATAAATTTAAACTTGTAAATGAAAACAATTGTTAATTTAACAATGGTAAAATATTTGAATGTTTAGCCCGTTACATTTGCCAGTCACTTTAACGACTGTCATATTGTCATATTGTTGAGGGGTTGTTGTTTTTTTATTTTATATTTTATATAAAAATATTAAAAATGCCTATTATTGTACTGGGGATGAGCCTTGACAGGCCCCTGGCATTTGCTGGTCCACCCACATGTTTTTTCACATCTATTTATTTTGTTCACTGTTTTTTTTTTCTCTTAATATTATTCTCTGTTAATTTTGTGTTACTTTGCATCTTTTATATGTCTGGACATGTATGTATACTTGTTTCTTATGAACTACATGTGGAAATAAACTAGACTTGAAACTTGAAACATAGGTTATATATAAACTATTTATGATTACAGCTATGGTTCTTACATCATTTCCAACTGCTTTCCGTTTCACTGGTGGTTGACTTGAAGAGGCCAAGGAGGGGATATTTTGTGGTTCTGCAAAATCGGGCTTCCTGTTTCCACCACTGCTTCCACGGTTCCCTATGAAAATCATTGACACATTTAATGTTCATCTCAATCATAAAATCCTTAACAAAAATCAGATGGATACAATACATCTCCAATATGCCAATATCTCTATAAACTGAATGTCAAGAATATTTAGCATTGTGAATGTAATCGTAGTGTTACATTCGATTGATCTGTGTGTATATGCATGCGTCAACTGTACAGACATAAACCAGATCATGAACATGATGTCAAGTAGAGGCGATCAACAAGAGAAAAGAAAATGGTTACGGAGAGTAAATTCATACTGTTAAAAGCTTCTCTTACCTGGTGAATCCATCTTGCGCTTCTGGCCTTGTTGTCTTCCACCACCCTTCCTGTCACGAGACCCATCTCGGCCTCCTCTCCCGCCCTGCATGCCTCCACGGAAACCTCCGCGACCACCACGCTGCTGCTGCTGTCCTCCTTGGCTCCCTCCAAAGTTTCTCCCACCTTTATCTCCTCCTCCTCCTCCTGACTGGCGCCTGCCTCCACCTCCACCACCACCACCCTGTCCTCTGCCTCCACCACCACCTTGTCCTCTGCCTCCACCACCACCCTGTCCTCTTCCTCCTCCACTCATTCTCCTCTGGTCCTGTCTGGGTCCACGCCCTGGGCTCCTCCTCTGTCCTCCTTGGTTGCCTTGGTTGCGTCTTAGGTCTTGATGACCGGCTATCATGAGCTTTTTACGCTCCCTAAAAGTCAGAAAGAGCACATAAACTGTCAGGCAAGAATGATGACAAATAGGAAATGAAGAATAAATTTATGATGCATGTACAGAAAGGACTATCAATTTGAAGAACATAATACATGAGACAAATCTGTTACCAACATTTTTGCATTGTCCTGTATGTGGTTGCATTGTACTTCAAATGTAAGAAAAAATCTTTCCTGAAATTTCTCATTGTAATTATCACCTGTCGATGAAGATTATAGCCATTATATCCAAAGGGACAGTAGTTCTGATCATGTGATGTGAAAATACAAGTCTATCACAAACTCCACGTATATCCCAATAAGATCACTCCACAAAAACAAGATAATACACATGAATAATCTAAGCTCTGCATTTACTTGGATTAATCACAAACTTGTTATTTATGGGGCAAAATAACTTACATATCTAGGAGCAAGGCTTGTTCTTCAAGGATGGCTTTCTGCAACTGCACCTTTGCAGCCAGATTTTCTGTGTATCCAGTCGCCCTGCCAGAACTGATCAGATTATGGCATCCACCAGTGTTCATGTCATCAAACCTTGACATGTCTCTTGACATGTCTCTCGGCATGTCTCTCGGCATCTCCCTGGGCGCGTTCCTTTGGAGGTCCCTACCGCTGTCCAGGGGGTAACGGTTGCTGGCTTGGGAAGAGAACTGTCCCATGCTGGGTGAAGTCGGGAAACTCATCTCATGGGATTTAAGGTCAGATGAAGAGTCCTGAAAAGATCGTCCTTGGCCAAGGTTATCCCTTCCTGTATTTCCTTCAAAGAAATATCAAGAGATTTATTATGTATCCTGAAATGACATAGTATGATATTGAAGATGGCTCTAACTAGAATGACACATTGGAAGATAAACACAATTCAAAATACCCCCCCCCCACACACACACACACACACACACACACAACATACACAGGAAGCTCTGTATGACAATCATTTTGCTGCCAGAATTCTTAATCCCTAATTTTATTACAACTAGGTTTTAAACAGATCTATTTGACACTTAAGTGGACCCAATGTAGACACTTCTCTATCAGTGTTTAATAAAATGATTTGAGGTATAGTTTATGATGACTAAATTGACTTTAGATATCCAATGACTTCCAACAAGTTTCTGAATAGCTGAAAATGCTCACCATAAGACTGTCTGTCAGAGTAGAAGTCTGCCCTATCACTGGCTGACCTCGAGAGTACAGAGTTGTCATATCTGTCATCATCTCGATCCCTCCTGAATGTATTTCGGTCACTGCTACTACTCAGGTCGTCATTACCATAAGTGTTTCCGGTAGGGTAGCTGGACCTCTGAGTGTTCCCGGTCGAGTAGTTAGACCTTGGAGAGGTCCTGGATCCTTGCTTGTTGAAATCTCTGGAGCGGAAAGAGCCAGAATCATCCAACCGACCAGTGAAAGGAACATCCACAAGCATGCTGCCTGATGAAGATTGGCTGAACCTCCCACGGTCACCTTGTCTATCTCTTCCATCGTTTGTGTTACGGTCATATTTTGAATACATACTTGCACAGTATCTCTGCAACTGCAAGGAAAATAAAAAGCAATGATAAAATATAAAAGATTGTATCATCTAGACCTACAATAATAGCGTTTAGTGTCAAGAGGCACGCGCAGAGATTTTGATAAATTCTGCACACTCCATGTCTGGAGGGCTTGGTGATAATGTAAAATATGATATCGATATCACCAAGCCTTAACTGGACCCATAGACCTGCGCAGATAGGCTGGTAAACGAACCCTAAAATGTGTCCAAAATCACCCCTTCCTGCACGACGAATATTCCACAGTGGCTTTAACGTTTGCTATCGGACTCTTCTTAGTAAAGGTGCGATTTAAATGCGGCCTAGATCTACACTTAAAAACTTTTTTTTTACGGTAATAGCATTTAGTGTTAAAAATGCGGCGCTACTGCAGTTCCCTATCCATTTTTTTTAGCAGTTTCATATCCATTCTTAGCAAAGGAATTTTAACCCAATTTTTTACTAATTTTAATCATAATCATATATTGCATTTTCAACCTGGAATTTGGATCACATCCAACATCGGGAAGCCTCCGTTTAGGGCTTCGATGTCGACGTCGTCGCTCAGTACCGTGTCCGCGCTACAGCTTTGCAACTCAAACTGAAGCTATCAGTCTAAAAATTATGCAAGCTTCTCGTATAGCTTATGGTATCGTGCATGTGCGTAATACCATAAAGCATACGCGAAGTTTGCATAATTTTAGACTGATAGCTTCAGTTTGAGGTGCAGAGCTATAGCGTGGACACGGTACTGAGCGACGACGTCGACATCGAAGCCCTAAACGGAGGCTTCCCGATGTCAGACGTGATCCAAATTCAGGTGGAAAATACAATATATGATTAGGAATTGTCCGTCTTCCCAAGGATTTACCGTTCACAACCTGAAAGTCTCTGTGCTGCGTAAGTGAGACAGGACATGTTCCATGCATGCAGCATCATCGCACTCGCAGAATAAATGCAGACAATCCCCATTGCCTTGGTTTTGAAAAATAAATGAGAAGAAAAAGAGTGTGCAAGGTTCATCAGTGCAGGATTGAGTGATTATGAACGCATTTCAGGTTTTTTTTATCATCACTTTTCACGCAGCTTGGGCTAGATGAGATCAATTCACACACAGGCTAGCTCCGTGCACTTGCTAGAGTCACAAACACGCACTGACTAACAAACACGCACTGACTTACACTCGCACAAAGACTGAAGAAGTCAGTCACATACGCACACGGACGTGCAAAGCCAAATCCAAACTAAAGGCAAAGCCGAAGGCGAAAAGCAGCATGTGAAACGATCGGATCCTCAATTTTCATTCTACAATTCATGCCCCCTCACCCCCTCCCCAATAGAGACACAGTTTTAAAGGAGATAAATAACATATTTTCTGTTTTCCCCCTTACCTTCAGGAGACGAAGAAATAGGCTGTAAGTAGACGAAGTTGATATAAAAACACGCTCACGCTAAAACAAATTGTCTTATGATCTCGCCCTAAATAATTCTGAGGATAACAAATTCGCCCATAACATTTACACAAAACTAGTCTTGTATTCGTTGATTTCTTTCTTTCTTCCTCTCTTTCCTTTTTGTTTTGTTTGTTTGTTTCCTTTTTCTTTATTTTCTTTTTCTCTCTTTCTTTCATGTTTCTTCTTTATTTTTTTCTGTAATATTCCCCCATTCTTGTAAGTATGACATAGACCTAATGAAATGTCAAGAGAAAGACGATCGGAGTCCGGGGCCTTTTTCAACTGACTCGGCCGGATAATGTATAATATTATCTAGATCAATTAGGATCAATCATTGTCAAAAATCATCCATAAATGGGGGTAAAAATAATTATTCCACCATTATGACCAACCGTGTAGATGACACAGGCGCGGATCCAGGATTTCTTAGGGGAGGGGGCCCAATTTTTTTTTTTTTGCTCCCGAAAATTTGAAAATCGCGCCGGCCGAAAAGTCGCTCAGTGGGGGGGGGGGGGGGGGGGGGGGGGGGGGGGGGGGTAGTGAGCACATTTTTTTTTTTTTATGATCCTCAAAAAAAATTCAATTTGCACCCCCCCCCCCCCTTGAGCGCCAGGGGGGGGCCCAACCACCCAAAAAGGTAAAAATCACGTGATTTTACATGATTTTTTTTCTCATATTTTTTTTTTACACAACTGTTTAGCCACTTCAGTCAAATATACTGTCCAAACGACTAGAGACAGAGTCTAGCATTACCCTTAGCAGTTTTGTTGGATTGCTGGAGTAGTATGTGTACATACTCGTTATTTCGGGTTAAATCTAACCTCTCTTCTCTTTCATTATATATTTCTGTGCTCTCCTTCTATCTATCCTCTTCTCTTTTGTCATGAATTTTTTTTTTCTTCAATCTATCCTTTTTCTCCTTCGTTATACATTTCTTTGTTTTTCCGAGTCAATCTATCCCCCAGTTCTCCTTCGTTATGTATTTCTTTTGTTCTCCTTTATTCTAACCTCTATTCTTTTGTTTTATGTATTTCGTTGTTTCCCCTTCAATCTATCCTTTTCTCCTTCGTCATCTATGTCTTTGTTTTAATCTGATAGATGATCCCTTAATCCTTCTTTATGTATTTCCATGTTTTTCCTTAGTCTAGATGATTATCCTCTTGGCTCTTCACATATGTATTTGTATGTTCTTCCTTTGACTTATCCTCTTCTCTTTCCTTATGTATTTCCTTGTTTTTCCTTCTCCATATCCTCTCCACTATCCTTGTTTTCCCCTTCTATCATCTTTGCTTGCACATTATATAGTGCGCTGACGACCTAGACTCTTTCACCAGAGCACTTCTTGGAATTTTTTCGCGAAAATGGCTAAACAGTTGTGTATTATGCGCGGGCGGTGGCTGGTGGGGGCAAAAGTCGGGGCACAAGTGCGGTAAATCTTTTGCATGCTTTACCTCCTCAAACTCATTAATCGCATGAAAATGAATTTTATTTACGTATTCCACAAATTACAAAATCCTTGTTTACGTACTCATGTGATAAAAAAAGATGACTAAAGTTTTCTTTTTAAGTTGTTGAGCCGGCCTATGGTTTCTTCTTTATTCTTTTCTTTAATATTCCCCCATTCTTGTTAGTTTGCATCAACTGGATGTCTCCTATAAAAATCTCCACTGCATGATGAAATGTTCTCAAGAGAACCGATCAGAGTCCAACAGGGCCTTTTTCAACTGACTCGGATAATGAACTATATATTTATGATAGAGTTAAAATGCTTTAAATTAGAAGAATAAATAATGTTGATGTAACCCAAAATTACCCAACAACCCACCCTTTTTTGTTGTTGTGGGGGGGGGGGGGGTGTTTGTATTGGACCTTCTTTTTTGCTCTCCGAAAATCATACACATATTAAAAGGTACTTGCATGGCGCTTTACTTGCGGCGATTAATTTTCTTGTTCTATACCGTCCACGATGCAATTTGAATTTTTTGATTTTTTTTAAATTTACATGGAAACAAAATATTTCTAAAAAGGACGCATAATGTTTGGTGACATTATACAGTTAATATTCATTGATATTTTAAATCGTATACTCTTTCTGTTGTTGTCACCAACAACAACAAAAAAAAAAAGGGAAAAAAAGAATTGGTAATGAATTAGGCTATAAAGTGTGTGTGTGTGTGTGTGTGTGTGTGTATTGGTTTAAAAAAAAAAAAAAGGTTTCGGGTGTATGCCTATCAATCAGATACAAGGGTGTCGATTTGTATCCGTGGTTGCGGGGGGGGGGATGGGGGATGATAGGTGCCAAAATATTTTCGGCAATGGATCAAAGCAGCCAAGAGGTAGAAGCGTGTGGCAGGTAGCACCCCTCCCCAAGGGCGTAGCCAGGATTTTATTTTAGGGGGGCGGTAGTGAGCACGCAAAGCTAGGGGGTTGGGTGCAGGGAAGGGAGAGCTTCCCCCCTCCCCCGCGAAGCGCGGAAGCTTTGACGTTTAATTAACTTATTAGAGAAAGAAGACGATTCGTTGGACCGTTCTCGACCCTTAATCCTTGTTTGAATCAAGTTCCCCTTCCTCCGCGCGTAGCGCGGAAGCTCCGTGGGTTAATTAGATTATTAAAGAAAGAAGGCGATTCGATGTACCATTCTCGACTCTTAATCCTTAATGTTTGAACAAGTTCCCCTTCCTCCGCCCATAGCGCGGAATCTCTGAAGTTTCTTTAGATTATTAAAGAAAGAAGACGATTCGATGTACCATTCTCGACTCTTAATCCTTGTCTGCATGAGTGCAATTCGCCCCCGCCCTCCCGCGCGAAGCGCGGAAGCTTTGACGTTTCAATAAATTATTACTCTTAATCCTTGTCTGTATTCATTTTCGTCCATCCAGCGCTAAGCGCGGAAGCCTTTTACCGTTTCATTAAATTATTAGAGAAGGAAGACGATTCGTTGTACCGTGTCCTTGTCTGAGTGCAATTCGCCCCCGCCGCGGAAGCTTTGACGTTTCATTATTGTTACTCTTAATCCACGTCTAAAATCGTTTTCGCCCATCCCGCGCATAGCGCGGAAGCTTTCACGTTTCATTAAATTATAATAAAAAGAAGATGATTCGTTGTATCGTGTACTTTGACGTTTCATTTAATTATAACTCTTAATCCTAGTCTGAATTCAGTTGCCCCCCTTCGGAAGCTTTGCCGTTTCACTAAATTATTAGAGAAAGAAGACGATTCGTATACTGTTCTCTATATTTCCTTGTCTGAATTCAGTTTCCCCACATGATGTACGTATGGAACGTTCGTTTGCAAATCTTTGCCTGCACAGCCCGAATGGTGGGTAGCATGTTATCTCCCGGCAATGCTTGTCGCAATAGCTTCTGGAAAGGAATTGTATTCTACTGTTAGTGTTAACGGCCACTAATTAGGCCCATTAGTGACTATACAAAATATATGCTCTTCCTGGCTATTTGGGAATGTGTCAGTTTGCAACAGAAATGGAGAAACGCGAATTTTGTTGAAAATCATGTGATATCACGAACATTTATAAGTCACTTGTATAAAATACGCCAGTTACATAGGCCTACATCAGCTTTTCAATAAAACAAAAATAATTTGTGACATAATATTCGTTCTCCAAAATATCAGGAAATAAAATGAGTAAAAAAATAAAAATAAAGATACAATGACGTCAATTTTTAAAAGGGTGAACGGAAACAACATAACATCTAGTGAACTATCTTATAAGTCATACTAATGTCCGAAATCTTTCTCCTTGTCTCCGATCTCATCTTTTTTTTGTCACAGAGTTCATCTATGTTTACATTATCCAGGATTGTCTGATGTTGCAGATTGCCTACTTTTGTGCTTCGCGCTTAACATTTAGCTCGTTGCTTTTTAACGCTGCGTCTTTGCATTTTGCGCTCTGCATTTCTATGATGCTGTTGATTGAACAAATTTAATAAATTCATCAATTCCTGATGAAGCCGTATGAGCGAGAATTCAATTTATTCTTGTCTCATATACGGTTGTCTCATTTACCTCGTACTATGTATTATGAAAATGAGATAACAAAATGTGTATATTGACGGTCATCTTGCGAGTAATAACCATCAACTACTCTCATCGGGCTCTCATCATAAAATTTTCTCTTAATTTTTTTTAGGGTGAATTATTGGGGGGGGGGGGGATGATTGTACAGGCCACCCCCCACCTAAAATATTGGGGGGGGGATATATCCCCCCCCCCATCCCCCCGGGATCGACATCACTTACATCTGGTGACCGGCCTTTAACATTAAAGACTGTCTAAATTACACCGATTATGCTCTGAAATGCGCTAAAACGCAAAGCTACTGAATTCTTTAATGTTCTCGCAGAAATATAGGTTGTGACGGATATAGAAGATTATTAGGGCTAGTAGGTGATGTAGGCTGTAGACCGACACCCCTACCAGTGGCGGATCCAGGGGGGGGGGGTCCGGGCCCCCCGTCCCCCCCCCTTGAGAAAAAAATCATGCAAAATCACGCGATTTTACCTTTTTGGGGGGTTGGGCCCCCCCCTGGCGCTCAAGGGGGGGGGGGGGTGCAAATTTTAAAATTTTCGAGGACCCCCCCCCCAAAAAAAAATGTGCTCACTACCCCCCCCCCCCCCCCCCCTCCCCCCCCCCCCCCCCCACTGAGCGACTTTTCGGCCGGCGCAATTTTCAAATTTTCGGGAGCAAAAAAAAAAAAAGTTGGGCCCCCTCCCCTAAGAAATCATGGATCCGCGCCTGACCCCTACAGACTAACAATATCGGTCTCCTGGACGTTCTGTCAACTTTTCAGAGGGTTTACTAGACTGATAGCTCAGTGAACCAAATAGACCACTTTTCAGAGACTATAGCTATTATCTGCGTACATGTATTGATCAATGGTCAATAAATGAATCTTTTTGCTATCCGATACGATCTGTGAATTGTGAACAACTACCGAGATGGAATGGACCGATTTGTAGATGGGGCGAGTTAACTGGTGTATCATTGGCAAGCGATCTAGCAGGCAGTGCACACAAGTCATGCACATGCTAAGCCTTAGACCTCGTTCTCACTAACTTCCTAGACCGATCCAGGCTAGTTATCTTTCTAACTGTGAGTGTAAACAGACAAGCGGTACAGGAAGCGATTTCTGGACCGGTTCGCTTCCTAGATCGCCCCTCACCGATCTAGCATGCAGTGTGAACATAAACCGTGCCAGAATAAAAACAGAGAAATATAAGGAAAGATAGAAAGAAAATGAAAAAATGACAGAGAATTACATACGAGAAGGTGATGGAAGGAAGAGACAAAGAATAATGTAAGGAAAGACAGAAAAAGAAAGTGATAGAATGATAAAAACAAAGAATAACATTTTGAAACGGCTAACAAAAGGATGACAGAAAGATAAAGTAATAAAATCATAAAACAAGAAATAACATAAGAAAAGTAATGGAAGGCAGAAACAAAAGGATAGTGAAGGAAAGATAGGAAGAGAAAATAGTAGAATAATTAAAACAAAGAATAACAAAAGAGAATGTAATAGAAGGAAGAAACAAAAAATAACATAAGGAAAGACAGAAGTGATAGAATGATAAAAACAAAGAATAACATTAGAGAAGGTATAAAGAGGAAACTAAGGATAGTGTAAGGAAAGATAGGAAGACTAAACTGAAATAATAAAAACAATGCAAAACATATAATATTAAGAAAAGGTGATAGACGGAAAACAAAGAATGACATAAATGCCGGGAATAAATGGTATGAAGAAAAAGTGACAGAAGGAAGAAACAAAGTGTAACATGAGGAAATTGCACTCTAAATCATGATTCATATATACAAAATACTTTTCAACACTTTTAGTTGGTAAAATTCCTTTGCCTATGGAATTTGTTCAAGTCTTTCATATCATAATAGACAAAACAAACAATTCTATAATCAGATAATATATCGACTACATCTTCAGGAGATATTTTTCTTTTCAGTTTTGTGGCCATGAACACTCCATTTAAAATGGGGGTGTTAGAATGTATTTATTTTCCAATTACTTATTGTATCCTTACGTTTCAAATCGAATTGAAGTTAAAGTATAATAAATATGTAAAAATTATAATATGAGAATACAATCGTATACTTATTTCATAAATAGCCATCAAATAATGTGTAATTTTTGTCATCGATATCCATCTTTTTGTTTGTTTATCTGCAATGGTCGTGTCCAGTGAAACATGTGTAAAGGAAATTTAAACGGTGTTCATCATGCTGCGTACCGTATCCGGGTTGTGTGGTATCGTACCTGAAGATGTTCATACCTGCGATGAGAATTCCATCAACATTTTGGAACGAGGATTAACAGGATATCTTTAGTTTGCTTTAAATCGTTGTGATCTATGGAATTATATAAAAATGGATCGAAATAAAGGACTACGAGGTGCGAGCTACTTGGAGCCCAGAAACAGGATACGGACGAGTAGCAGCGACAGCAGCGGGTCTTCGTGCGGGGACAGTGAAGGGAGCCAGGAGAAGCTCAGGCGATTGTTCCAGACGTGTGATAGCGACGGCGATGGTTTTATCGATGGGTATGTAGTCTGCGCGTGAGTTTGTACATGATGTATGTGCAAAGCCGAAGTCTTCAAGAATGTGACTAACAGTAACAGGCTTGGATAGGAAAGAAGTTTACAAGTAGGGCCTAGGCAGTTGAAAACCCTAGTCTAAGAATAATCGTATTGATATGAGATGGTAATATTAACGAGAGAGAGAGAGAGAGAGAGAGAGAGAAGGGGGAGGAGGGGGGGAGAGAGAGAGAGAGAGAGAGAGTCTAATCAATAAAATAAAAATTAGACTTGTTTAGCAATAAAGGTAAAGACCAGTTCTGGAAACGCCCCTCAAGTCATTTTTATCTTTATTTATTTGAAACTTATACATGTACATGTAGATGATCAACCTTTTCTGATCGATTCCACAATGTTTCTTTCACAATGCAGTTGCATGACCATAACTGGTCTTTATCTTTAAGTTTAAAAATAAAAAAGACAATCAGACAATCATGTTTGTATGCATTTTAGAGCTGCTACAGTGTTCATGATTACCACTCCAATTTAAAGGAAACTTGAAAAGTGGTTGTTAAAGGCAGTTGGTCTTTATTGTCGTGCTCCTTTGATTGTAGGTTTCAATAAGAAACCCTATTCTTTTAGTCTTATTAAATTGTGGCACCATCTTTGTCGCTCTCCTCTGTACCCATTCAACCTCGTCTCCATCTTAACAAACAGGTGACGTGCAAGTTTGTAACAAATAACATATTCTTTTCAAACAAGTGAAAACAAGTATATTTTGTTTTAAAAAGAAATACAAATTGATTTCTACATTATTCATCTCGCAAGGAATCACAGATAAACATTCACTCTTTATAAATGTACCCTGGCAAGACTTCCACTTTGTTCATAATCAACCAAATGATAACCAAATATCACCAGAGGATGCATTAAAACTATATAACACATCCAATGGTTTTGATTTAAAGAAAACCAAAGAATTTAAAGGGGAAAAACAATGCCATACCAAGACCCATGTGCACATGTTATTTTTTGCACATGTTATCTTCTACATATACTTGGGTGTACTGTGTATGGTCACTGCATATAGTCCACTCACAAGTCATTTTTATCTTTATTTATTTGAAACTTATAGTATACATGTACATGTACTTTGTACAGGCATGGAGCCCCAAACAAATATTGTTTGTTGTTGATTATTCAGAGCAATTGTAGAATACCGCACCACAAATCTAAAGCTAAATCTAAAGACTTAAGTTTCTTAGGTCATACTAACCCTAAGTCTAACCCTAACTCTAACCCTATCCCTATAGCTGTCACCCTAGATGTTGGATGTTCATATGCATTATAAGTATAAATCCTATTGATGGGGTACTCTACTGTTAAGCTGATTATTTCCTACATAATACACTATACCATGCATCAGGCAATTATCCATTATGCTATTTGCCATCTCTCTTGCACTTGCATGCTGTCCTAGGCTACATGTAGATTATTTTATTTTTTTAACGTGGCGAAATCAATACAAAATTATCATCTAGACTAGAGCAAATATCTTAATTTCTAATTACATTATAAGCAGTTATCTAATGATATGCAAGAACAATTCAAAAAAAATTGTGTGATTATGAATATTGCAATCACAAACTCAATAACGAGATCAGATCACCTAATTTTAGGTACAAGATTATCAGTTGGATGGCCATAACTAATTGACTGTCTAACGGTAACTCTTAAGATGTAGGAAATTGAATAATGTGTACTTGTGACATTTTTGTGTAAAAGAGTCAAATGCGTAAACAATGTGAGCTAAAATTGACTACATGTGTATGTTTAGGACAGCCAAGATAGCAGCCCAGTCAGACACGAGAAGAATGGTGATATGTATTGGTGCTAATAGATGTTAATAGAAGCCACATACCAATCATTATTAGTCGAGATGACAATGTCCCCCTGCTGTAAAGAATGGCCAGATGATGCCCTGGATCACGTTTGCATGAGAAGAGATTAAGTGGATGGAACTACAGGCTCCTCATAGTACTGTACTGTAAAAACATAAAACTTAATTGACTTGAAAAAAAAATTTTGCAAAGTTTTAAGGACATGCATTTTCATGGCAGAAATTACATATATTGCACAGTGATATTTACACAGTGTTCATAAGTCAATGATTTTGTGATTGTAAATTTTGTGCATCTGGACCACTCAATTGACTTCATGAAATATGTTGAACTTTCATGATGCAAAGTATTCTTGTTAAAATAGGAGGTAGTGGGAAGGGGAATTCCCCTCAACAGGGATTATTAATGTTATGAGCATGCACATTTATGCTGAAGTTCTAACTTCTAATCTATTGATTTTGTACAGTAATTGTACCAATTAGTTTGTGATTTACTTGGTGATTATAAATGTCTGTAGCAATAATTGGCTAATGGTTTCGTACTTGTCAGTGCAGAACATAAAGTGTCTGTTTTTGGCATAAATGCACCATTACAATTTTTCATAGTTCCCCATCTTTTACACGATTTTGCAGACATCCTGAATGTGTATGGTGTGAACAATGTGCAGTGCACATAATACAGTATAGGTGCATGCATGTGTACATACAGAGTTGGGTATAGATTACACATCTTTTGTTCCCATTGTGAAACCTGGCTTTGCAAGCAGCCATTGTAGTATGAGCTGAGCTTTACATACAATACAAAGGATGGGAGCCCTTTACAAAATCTGTGACTTTCCCAAGTCTGTGACTTTCCTGATGAAGCAAAATCTGTGACTTTCTTGACAAAGCAAAATCTGTGATTTTCCTTAGCTGTGCATATTGAGAGACATTGAAGTGTGATAGAGATAAATGTATGTACTCCTTGCATACAGTGTTAAAGATAAAGACCAGTTATGGTCATGCGATTGCATTGTGAAAGAAACGTTGTGGAGTCGATCAGAAAAGGTTGATCATCTAGCATATAAGTATTGGTGTGTACTGCATTAAGGTTCTGGAATCATCAAAATTATAAGAAATTTGCCCAGTCTTGATAAAGCTACAAGCACTGTACACAGAAAGATGTATATGGGACTACCCCCACACGTGCGTGACACATGCATTATATCTATCAGGTCCAAATAGATATAATAATTTACCAAATATATCAATTAGTAGGCGGTTTCTTGGCAAAATTTGTATGATCACGTATTAGTCAAAATATATTCTTTCACATGGGTGGTAATAAGAGCTTCCAATTCATTTTTTGAGAGGGGGGCATTTCCAAAACTGGTCTTTACCTTTAATGTTTCACTATTTGGACCCTGATGTAGTTCCATGACTAAACACTGATGGACGTAGAACCACATTTGTTAGCTTAGACCTAAAATAAAGTACCCCGGTAGAAGCGAATACGTAGTAGCTTACAGTATTGTATTTGTTTTCCAGATGACGGTCTGGAAAGTTCTAAAAGAAATCTGGTTTTACTGCAATAAAATGTCACTACATCTTCCGAAACCCCCCCCCCCCCCCCCCCCCCCCCCCCACACAAAAAAAGATGATTGTAAACTAATTTTTCATGCCTGAGAAAAGTTCTTATACAGCTATAGAACAATAAACATGACTAAGTTCTAATCATTGAATTGTCACGTACATGTATCATACCACTGTTTTGCACAGCTCAGTAGATCAATGATACTTGTATTTGTGAGAAAGGACTGTACATGAACATGTACATTGTATAGTGTATGAACATGTTTACTGTAGGCTCTGCTATCATGATAAAATTCATGTTTTTGTGAAATTCAGGATTGAACGGTAAATGTTTTCCAGTATCATGAATAAAAAAATGTTCACTGGGCCCATCCTCCGTCCCATCCATCTTCCCGTCCATCTCATCTGTGTCAGCCGGAGTAACCCTAGAGCCTGGCGATGACCTGATGTGACCCTCGTCAGCCATGTCTGCCTAGGCTATAACAGGGCTTTACCTTACTGGTTATTAATAGATCGTCTTTAAAGGAGGTCATCAATCATTGTCCTGCCAAGTTCATGGTCAAAGAAAGGGAGAGGGACTGTTTAGGAGTACTGTTTAGGAGAGTATAACAAATGTGAATTTGGGATTATATTACGTGTACATGTAGGCCTGCAGGTTCATTCTTTAACTTCAATCATCAGGAACTTCCTTTCAAATTGAGTATAATTCTACCAGGTTCAGAATAACATGAAGTAAGAAGAAACGTGTAATAAAAATAAAAATGATGAAGACAAGAAACCTTTGGTATCCATCTGTTGGTCTTGTTTTTGTTGATTGCGATCTGTAGATGGTGAGGTGGGAATAAAAGAAAATCATGCAGTAATAAAGTATTTTAAAAACCCTTTTAAGGTACATAAACATGTAATGGCAGTTGGAAATGACTACAAGAGATATTCTCTTTTATTCAAGTTTATTTCTGAAGCTCAGATGACCTGCCTATTTGTTATATACACACAAACTTTAGTATTCTATTGGACAAAAACAACTCGAGACCTATTCTCTAAACATTCTGCAATACAAATATTAAATAAAGGATAAATGTGAGAAGTGCACACCCCATTGACAGCTGATTTTTTAAACAAATTTCAACTTTCTTTGGACTCTTCACCACACCTTTTGAATATCTTGTTCCAATTGTCAATATGGCCTTCAGAAACCCGCCTGTCAGTCACTCAGTCAGACCATCCTTTGTATTTTCTTTAGGACACTATCTTTGTTGACTTTTTTGTCATTCATCTGTCTTTTGTTGCTTAATCTTCGGTTGTAGGATATATTTTGATGGATGATTCAGGATTCATCTTTGCCTCTGCAATGATATTTTATCTGTTCAGAAACAGAATGGAGTTAATACCCTACTGGCTCCAAACAGACTCTACTGAGTGCTCCCAGCTTTATTTCATGTATGGTTATGGCTTGGTTATACATGTACTGTAGGTTAGAGTTATGGTATGGTTTTGAGTTCAGCCACCATAGTTAAAAATACCATTTCAATTAGTGTTTGAAATTGAAGTGAAC